TTAAAAAGACAGGGGGTTAGGTACCATCTGGATTATTATCGACGTTCAGTTTAAAAGCCAAAATCCCTGATATTATCCCTGATTAAATAGAACAGTACAATGCAGCAACTTACTTTAGATAGTAAGTGTGCTCTCCCCTTTGTGAGATGTAAAATTAAAGTGCAGCCTTAATGGAGGCTAACATATTGTGTATTAATCTTGTATTACAACCCATGGCCCATCTGTTAACATGGAGAAAGTGGGATTTTGATTTAAACTGCTTCACTGTCTGTGTTTTCCATTTTAACACAAAGTCTATCATACTGCTTTAAGAATAATACGCTTCTTAAACTTATGACTAGGGTGTTTTTTTATATCCCATACACTTCTTTTACATTTAGTTGTGCTGTATGAAATATTGGACTTGTACTTATTGAACTCACCCATTGGTTTCTGAAGTAAAGGCTTTATTGGAAATGCTGACTCAGCCTATTTTTTCGAGACAAAGAGGTGTAACTGAGGTAGCCTTAAACAGAGTATATCCACCTGTCTCATTATGCCCCACCCCCGATTATGCATACCTTGTAACCTCGATACCTTATAAAATTAGGTTGCATAAATTCATAGAGAGACAAGTCATCAGAACCACCCATAACAGTACCCGGGTCGTTGAATACCACTTTATTTTAGAGGGTTTATTTGTCAAATTCATAGGTTGGAAAATACAACAGGACTCATGTCGTCAAAGATGAATGAGAGGAAAAAGATTTTGGTAAAAAATAAATGTAGAAACATAATCTTCAAATCTGTAGCATGCTGTATAAAGGATTAAATCTCTAAACCTTTTTATCATCCATGCATGAACAATGGTTTAACATCAGCACTCTGCATTATCTATTCTTTTTCACTAGAATCGAGCGTTCTCATGTCTGATATTGTGCCGCATTTTAAAGACTTTCAACAGTTAAGGTGTACGAACTAAAATTTAGACATAAAATGTGAGATAAAATAGGACAAAAATTTAAATTTTGTCTGGAGTCTCAGATGCATAATCATCTAAAGCCAGCTTTTGGACAAGCCCTCTATAGCTATGCAGATTTTTCAGATTTCTGTATATAGCTGAGCAACGCTGCAAACATGTGTGGAGCCTCTATGACAGGCAGAGTGGATTAAAGCACCGCGGTCCAAACATTTAAGTCAAATGATAAACTAAATATTCCCTGAGAGATTCAGTCTGTAAACTGGAGCATGTGCACACACTGATACTCAGCACCTTGTTTTGGCACCCTCCGCCTATTATGAGGAAACAAATAAGCCTCTAGAGGCAATGACAAATTGCTGTGGCATCTGGTGTATACGCATGACTGGAAAAATGATCTCAGTATTGGGTCAAGAACTCGTTCTCTACGTACAAGTCACTGTTACCTGTTTGACTTGCAACTTTAGACTCAGGAATGAAGGCGTGGCTCAAATATTAGAGTTATTTTTTGTCATTTGTTTAAAAAGGTGAACTTTCATAGAGTCTATAGTTATTGTATTACCATATTTTGTTTGAAATTTAATAGTTTGGCTCACAGTTCTTTGAAATTAGCAAGCACGTTTTTGAAATTAGATGAAAGTTTCATGAAATCAGTCATCTTAAGATTTTAAATCAAGTTCAGCTCAAGCCAACTGACCAGCCAATTTAACTCATTTGGTAGTTTTGGTGCTGTGGGCAGGTGCAAAGGCTAGCCACATAGGAAATCAGCATCACTTTAGAGCCTGTCAGAAGATGGATGCATGAAGTGCTCTAAAATATCCAGTCAGACAGATGCATTATCTTGGTGTGCACCCACTAGCAAATAACATGGCACCTTCACTTCTTGGATTACGCACCTCTTCACTCTTGCGTTTAAGAACCTGTTGATCCAAATGAAATGTGTTATCCACTGCCATCTGAAAAAAGAGGACTTAAGACCACTGAGTCTGAACAGTCCAGTTCTTGCTTAGCCTACTTGAGCTGCTCCTGATGTTGTCTTTGGTTCAGGAGTGGCTTGCGATTACATCTTTCTGTTTACATCTGCGGTGGCTCGTGATGCACGGACACCAGCCCTTGTTTACTCTCCGTGATGCTCCAGTTGACTGTTCTTGACAATCCTCTCAAGGCGGCAGTCCTCTCTCTTGCTTGTGCATCTTTTCCTGCCACGCTATTTGCATTCTGGCAAATGCGGACTGCAAACAGCAATAAATGACCTCACCCTGAGACTGCCCTGTGTTTGCGTCCCACTTCTTTTACAGCTGAACGAACAACTTGACATGCATTGCTCTTGCATGTCAACCTTTGTTTTTCAGAGCTATACTGCTGATGTTTTTCCATCTCGGACAATACCACTCAGACTGCAGATGGAAAGTAGAACGATTTTAATACCAAAATCCTGTCCTGCAACTCCAGACTTTACATTTTGAAGAGCTTACGTTCAACAGTAACTCTCTCATGTTTGGTTGATCCATGCTTTTCAGTCAACACGCCGTCTACCAGCCTTTTAATCACCAGGGAGGCATTTTAGTGATAAACTGTGTCCCGTACCGGCCAAATTAGCCAATCATAGACTTTAAAAATGATCTGTATCCACCACCATGTTGGTCACTCTGTTGTGTGAAGGACAGGGCTGATTACATGTGAAGGATTACTCCACTTTAACCAGACTGTCAGCTTTTTCTAAGCAGATCACATGAATTTACAAGAAAAACCCTCCGGCTAAGCCACTGACTCGCTGAACACTCACGTTTTGATGGCGGAAAAGCACAAACAGGGTTTTAAGTTCATTATTTCAGAAAAAAAAACTAATTATCTGACATTTTAATGACGTGAAATGGCTTAAATGTGAGTTAAAAAACCATGTCTGACATTATTTATCACGCTTCAAGGAGTTTCCTCCCGATTGCAGATAAAAGTGGAGTAGTTTTCCCGTCAAGCTGGAAGATTAATCAGAAAATCTGACGTGCAAGGTTAAACTGGGAGTGAAAGAAACAGGAACAAAAGAGCACTGTGGGAGAGAAAGTGATAAGAGGCTTAACTCGGCTCAGTGACAGTCGAGGCTGCGCACAGTGAATTTACTGCAGGAGAGAGAAAGACAAGAGTGGAGGAGTTTTTAGTTTACTTCAACCTCATAACTTTGTACTAATGTACTCCAGATTAACAGTCAATTATCATTACAGGTTACAAGCAGGCCTCCTTTTAAATGAGGAAATCACATTTCAGATATTTATTGGTTAATTGGAATTAGTGAAGTCACGATTTTACATTCTCATGATTATTCTGACCAAAATGAAAATCGTGAAATCGACATTATTGTTTTACTGTCAGGCCATGTTTGATTTAGTTTGAGAATTTAAATATAGAAACACTTTTTGTACGTAAATTGGCAAACAATGATCAGTCCAACTTTTTCACACAACAGGATTAACAACACAACAAAAGGATACTAACTACATAAGCATTCGTAGCCTATTCTAGTCACGTTTAATTAGGGTGACCATACGTCCTCTTTTTTGGAGACTGTCTGGGTTTGTCCAGCTTTGTTCGGGGAAGTTTAAAATATCCTTCAAATGTCTGCAGTATTGTACGTAAGTTTCGAGTTAGTGTCACATGGACTTACTGAGTTAGAAGCGCATGAAAGACACTCAATCCGACCTGAAAAACTCTTAAAATTAATTGTGCGACTCAGTGACTCCACCCCGGCGTAGTCTTGTCCTCTTTTTGGGAAGTCAGAATATGGTCACCCTATTTTTGATGAAAACCACACTCGTGTTGCTTTGAAAGGATAGTTCACTTTTTTAATTTGGGTTAGCAAACTCAGTAAGAGAAGGAATACAGAAGCCAGTCTATTGGCCGCTGCAGATCGGGTCAACCTAAGCTGGTTTTAAGAAACTCAGACCGAAACGCTAACATAGGGGGACCATATTCTAAATCCTCAAAAAGAGGACACAACTACGTGGGGCAGAGTCACGGGCAAAACTTTGAGGGTCGAGTGTTTTTTATGCGCCTCAAACTCAATTAGTCCACGCTGCACAAACTCAAAACTTCAATACAAACCCTGGATAGAGGGATTTTATAAATTCCTCCCAGATTGGCCAGACAGCCGACGAAAAAGAGGACTTGTCCGGCTAAAAGAGGACGTATGGTCACCCTCGCTAAAGTCAAAGTGTGTGTTGTATTTAGGATTTTTTCAGCTCTTGAATAAAACAAAAACGACTTTGTTTTTTTTTAGCTTTATTTGTGGATGCAACTCATGTTTGACCTCATGAAGCTGTTTTTGTTGAAGTGTTTGCTACAGCACTTGATATTCTTGCCTTATAATTCATTTTACTTCCGGTTTTTATTATTTGTTGTCTCAAACAGTTATTAGTTTACTAGCTTCGACGCACTGCGTTTGGTTAAGTCCGCCTGTTGTACTTGTCGCCAAGAGCCGAGGAGCTCATTTACACCCAAACAATAGCCCTACATTTAGGATTAGCTGGTGCAGCCCTGTTCTGGTTCATTGAAGTCTTGTTACTGAAGGCACCATATGTGCAGAGGGAGCCTGACTTTAATTTATTTTGATTTATGGCTCAAAGGGCCAGGAGACGTAACCCAGCCCGGCCCTGCAACCCCTCTACCCTCCCCCCTCCCGCTGAGCTCTCACACTGTGCTGGAGTTTGGAGTCTGGTTCTCATAAAAAACCTGAAACCTGATTGTTCCAGCCCGTGATAAAGCAGCAGGGGGACAGCTGATAAGATTTCTGATGCACTCAAACGCTGACTTTTTTGTTCTCGCTAAGATCCTGATTAGTTGGGGTCTTGGGTGCTGACACCCTTTAGCTGACGAGACTAAGTGAAGCCCTTCCGTCTTCAGATTCGAGACAGGTACCCCAAGGCGTCCCAGAGACTGAGATCCAGATAAGAAGCATGTCTGCGCACAGACAGACGGCCCAGAAAGCCAGACTCCGTAAAAAACGAATCAATCGTCTCTTATCTTTGACTTCTGCTCAGCTGTGGGGCAGATGGTCCTGAAGCCCACCACCCTTCAGCATATCTCTAATCAGTGTAACCGAGCAGAAAACTTCAGCAGTAAAAATGTTGGAGACTCCCGCGGTGAAGGGCCTGATCTGATAGCCATGGAAATTGAGGCAGATTTAGGCGCTCCGGACAGCGAGTCGGGAGTGTTAATCATTGAGGAACATCAATATAAAACCCCCCGCCTCTTCCTCCTCGCTGCTATAAAGGGCCGACTTCATTATTCAGACGCTCCTTTCTTTGCAGTTAATGAACTCCTAGTCGGGACTCCTCATGTTGTGGCTGTTTAAATACCTCTGTCGGTGTTATTGCCAATATCAGGGGGAGTCGCGCTGTTTACACGGAGAGGAGGTTAGCGCTGGCGTGCTTCATTACACGAGGGGAGAGAAGAAAACAACACGCCACTTTAGACGTCAGCTCCTCTCATTTAGAGGTGTTTCACCGCAGATTAGATTACCATCCAATGTGACTCCAATATCTACAATTAGATTTAGAGTAAAGTGGAAGTAAAGTCAGTTAAAGCAGCTATATTTGGTGTCCTGAAAGGCTTAAAGGGAGCGGCTATGAAATCTTATCAACCAGTGGAAAAGACAACAGACCCGAACAGTCGCCTACATGAGCAAAATCAGTTTCTCATTGTATCCGATATGACAAGAGGAGGAAAGGAGGGAAAGCAATTATTAATGCAGCCCAGCCGTCTAGCCAGAGGTCTGGTAGCAGCTCATTAGGAGGACGTCCTAGAAAGTTTAAAATAACTTTAAAACCTCACAGGTCTTTTTTTAAATATCAAAATCAATCTGTTATCTGTACCCTTGATCCGCTCCAGGGTCATGGGCAGTTGAGCCTATCCCAGCTGTCATTGGATGAGAAGTGGGGTACACCCTGGACAGGTTACCAGACCATCACAGGGCTGACTAACCCCGAATTTCCTCCGCATCCGGAATGGCTCAGATCCGGAATGACGGCGATTTTCGCCATCCGCCAATTCCTACCTGATCCGTTTGGGAGGCGAATTTTGTGGCGGATTACAGACAGTGGAAATTGGGAGAACTCACAAGAACCTGTGGATTCACGTGCAATAACGCACAATAACAAATTGTCTCTATAGCCACATAACCATACAAGCAGTAGATTGTGACTGTCCAGAGGAGGAAATCCACTTCTAGAATTTTAGGATCATCATCTCCTCATCCATGGTGTCAACAGGGTGAAATGACGTCTAAAAACCTTTCACTTGTTCGTCCCCGCCTGTTTGCATGGTGTTTTATTTTGAAAAGAAGCCGGATGTTTTATTTTGACTTCTTTTCGACTTCTTTTCCTTTGCAGCACGGGTTAATCTTTGCTGAATTTATCCGGCATGCTCCAGAATCCGGAATCAATAGAATTCTTGCGATCAACTGCGGAGTCCGCTGATCCGCAGCGGAACGGAAAAAAGCCGGTGGAAATTGACACATTAACTTGAATGTTTACAATTACCTGCAATCGGCGGATACAGCCTTTCGTAGCTGTTCTGGATGCGGTGGAAATTGGGGATTGATAGAGACTGATTCATTCTCACATTTACACCTACAGCCAATTTGAGTTGAGTGACCAAATAACCTGTTTTTTTTTTTTTGTAGTTCACTAACCCGTGTTTCTGTCCTCTACATTTGCCCGCTCGTCTGTCTTGTCACACCTGTTTCCCATCACCCTCATTACCTCTTTTTTTTAAGTCTGTGTGTCTCACTGTCTTGTTGCCAGTTCGTTGCACTTCATAGTCTCGGTCCAACATTAATTCATAGTTATTGATACCCATATATTGCCTTTTTCGGACCTTGCCTTTTTGCCTCACGTTTTTGGATACCTTCACCTGATCTTGCCTTTTGTGGTCTGACCTCTGCCGGAGCTTTAATAACCCTGTCTGTTGGACAAACTGACTCGGTGTCTTGCCATTGTGTCTTCCTTTCTGTGCAACCATGTGTAAAACTTTTTTTGAGCACTAGCAGGAACTTTACCACGTACGTAATAGAGACACTAGTGGTAAAATATATGAGCTGTAGATGGACCCTAATGACTCAGCAGAATTAAAGTCTCATGTTAGATTAATATGTATGACCACGACTGCATTTCATCCTCCCCCAGTTCGTCTGAGCGTACACTATCTCATGAAGCAGAAATGCAATTAAACTATCGTCAGAGAGAGGAGGCACATGTTTGACCTCTGGGTGAACCCGTGCAGAGGCTTCTTTCTTTGGTCCGTTTCAGGCCTGACATCACTGAGAGGCGTTTAGGTGAATCATAGACGGTGTCTGATTTGAATTTCAATTATCACACAGAGGGCAGAGAGTCTAGACAAAACAACGGTCCCGCGTCTTTGGCTATACTAAAAAAAGCTGCTGACAAGTCTTTCGACCTGCAGCAGATGTAGTCGATAATTTAGAAGACTTTGGGGACATTTTGACGTCAAATCTTGACCTTCACCAGCTCAAAAAAGGGATAATTTTCTAACTTTAGTGCTCTCGTGTGTGAACTGCAGAGGTTTCATATCTGAGTACCTCTTGACTGTATTTAGTTTAAGATTAACCGTGTCATAGTTTATACACCTTTTCATAGGATTTAGATAATGATTTCAGACACCTGTTTTCTGGCAGCTGCCAAGAACCTGTGCAGACCTTTCCTCAATCAAATGATGAATCAGCAAAAATAAATAAAACATGTTGGCTGCGACACAAAACGCTGACCTGTCCGCGGTGGACCGGTCACAGGAAACTGGCACAGCAGAGCATCCTGACAGCACTCAGAGTAGAGGACATGTTTAATATTTACCGTGGCTCTCCTCTCCTGTTGCTGGCATGAGGCGGATACGCCGTGGCTGCAATACAATGTTGGCATTTCAAAGCGCTTAGTCAGCAAAAAGTCACAGCGGTCTCATTTTTCTCCGATTTTAAAATTGGAGCAGTTTGTGTCGTTAAAGGTAAACATCACAGCTGTCTGAGCAAACACGATGCAGAAACCAGGATATGAGTATTTATCACGTGTACGGGGATATGAATGACCAGGGTCCTCAGTGTGCATGTGAACGCCACATCCTAAATATGATTAAAACTGGGATAAGGCTAAAAACCAGGATACTCAAGTCCATGTGAAAACACTCTCCATCTTTGTCCACAGCAGTCTCTGTAATAAAATATTCAAGTATATAAGTGTTTCTATAAAAATTTGTTTGTTCCGTTAGTATATAATTCAACTATAAGTTATCTCCCTTCAAGAGAAAATAAATCATAATTAATCTAAACTTTTTTAACTGTAATTTCTAGGATTGTTTGTCTTGTTTTAATTGATTAAAAACAGCTTTTATTTTGAAGGCTGGTTTTACAATTTTTGTTCTGTGTCATGAGTTGGTAACAGGGTTTAGGGGCCTTTATTTTGAAGGCAGGTTTTGCTGTTTTTGTCCTGTGTTATTGGTTACAAAAAGGCTCTAGGGCTTGTATTTATTGAGGGTTTTACTATTTTTTGTCCGGTCCTGAGGCTCTTATTTTGAAGGCAGATTTAGTTTTTCCTGTCCTGTGTTATTGGTTATGAAAAGGCTCTGGGGCTTGTGTTTAAAGCGAGTTTTTCTATTTTTCTTCTTTGTTACTTATTGCAATCTGGTCTTAGGGCTTTTATTTTGAAGGGAGGTCTTGCTATTTTTATACTGTATATGATAAGTGACAGCAGAGGGCAGATAGAAATGGTTTCCAAGGTAATAGAGAACACTCTTGTCATTGTTCAGCATATTATCCAGTTTTAATGGTACTTAGTTATTCGAGTGTATTGACAAGTGACTTTGGTTCTAGATGGGTGTGCGAGCTGCTAATGACCGAACTGCCATTTTTGTCCCTGGTTTGTCTTGTGTGCAGCTTTTATGGTTTGTTGTTCAGTCACTGGTCTACCCGGGGGTTGCTGCACCTCCTCTCATTTGTTCTTAGTGAACTTTTAATAACAAGCTGAACAAAACCCACATCACACTCACAAAGCGGTGAATCTGTAATCTGAATGTTTACTATATCCAGGCCTTTCAGCTGTTAAATGATGAACTCTGCCTGACTCTGAGTCACCCCCTATCCACGAATTTCCCCATCAGTCAGAGCTCTGGGGAGCGCAGTCTAAACCCGACGTAATCCCTCATGCCCAAACAAGACCACAGACAGATTTCACAGGCTTCTGCCTCACAATACCCAGACTGGAGGGGACGCAGCTCTTTGTGGACCTGATTTGTGTCGGGACATGGCTACGTTATGGATGTTGAGTGGGTGTAACTGTGTCCCCCTAAAGTTCAAGGTCAAAACGGTCCGGAGAATGAAACAGTCATTCGTCCATCTTCTTGCGCACACACACACAGATTTCTCCTGTTCATGTTCCAGCTGCCAATAGTCACGCTCGCTCAGACAGACCGAGAGGTGAAAGAGCAATCATCACCTCCACAATGAGGCTTTCACACAGGCTGAGCAGAGGAATGTCACTGCATGAACGCTGTGACCATCCCTGCAGAAAAAAAACACTGTAGCAGCACTCGAGTGTTTCCCAGCACTTTCATTCTGCTCTCATATCAACACTTTTATCCGTCCTACAAGTTAGTTTCCCTGAAGGCCAAAGACCAGTTTGTCAGATTGTAGCGTTGCTGTTTTCAGGCAGATAAAACTCTGTAGAAATGTCGCCACTTTTCCTCGTCCTTGACTGAATCTTTCATTTTGTCACATTGAAAGTGTTTGACAGCGTCTGTGCGACACTGTCTTTTAAGTTGAAAGTTTTACTGCTGATGAAATCCTCAAGGTTTTCAACAAACCCGAGGCACTGTTGACAAAAAGCGGAGAGCAACAGAGTCGCAGTAAACCCAAATAACTCAGCAGGCTTTATTGAAAGTTTGTGGCATTCACCTCACTAATATCCTTTTTGTATGGCAGTCCTTCATTAAGTTGGACAGTTTAAGTAAAGCCACAACTAGCAGTGGAGCCACCAAAGCAGCAATCAATTGTATCATCTACATTTACATCATCTTATGTTTACATTTTAAGGCGTCTTCATTATTCCTGAGGGGGCGATTTGTTTATCTTGGGTCTTACATACCTGCAAAAACACTCAGGACTGTAAACTAGTTCACTGTATTATTCAGTATTTATCTACATTTGTAGTGCTGTTGAGTTAAAATGGTTTTTATATTTTCCTTAGTTTATCTTATTAAATTTGCTCTGTAGTTTACTTTGTATGTTAATAAAATGTTGAACTGACCTCTAGTTTCTTTAGTTTTTAGTACAGATGCTTTAAAACAGGCAGTTTAAAAAACAATAAAATCATGATAATAACCGAGTTTGGACGATGTGAAAAAATATATTGTGATCTTTGTGATTTGTCCACAGGCGCCATACATTAAAATAGGAAACAGTGTTTACCATGACCAAAAATAGTGTCGTCTTCCTTCAGATTCTGTTTTCATTTACACAACTTAAGCGACCCGGTCCTCAATTCACCCCCTTAGACCCTGATGTGCCTTTTGGGATGATCCTGGTAGATGCTTCCACATCAAAGTCTTGATTTCAGTCCTGCAGCTTCCTCATCTTGACTCCTGATGGGGGTTCGTTTGATATCCAGAGATGTTTTAGTAACTTCATCCAACAACACCTGGGTGCAGGACCCCAACTCCCATCTCTGGTGTCAAAGTCGACCTCCTACCTGTGACTTCTGTGTAGTATAAGGGTATCATGTTGCAGATGAATACATGGATGAAAGCTTGATCTTCACCCCGGTCATGCAGAGCAGCTATAGAGCCTTTAGATGTGGTTGCAGGAATCTCTTTGAGGGGCCCTGACTCTCCTCACCTGCAGCTGTTGTGCATGCACACATTTTTGTTTATGATGAATGAAAAGTAGCTCGCCTTCATCAGCGATATTTGTGGGAAAGGAGGATTTGGATGTCATTAGAGGCTGTTACTGTCATCTAAGAAGTAATATGGACCTGTCAAAGCATTTTACAAACTAGCCTCAAAAAAGTAGAAAAATGTCTCACGAAATCACAGCGCTCCCTCTTTAAACAGTAATTCAGGTGATTTAAAAGCATCTGCCTGTTGTGTTTGTGTTCATTTTGCCCCTGCCTTCTCTGTCTCCATGGATCCTGAGGATTAATGAAACCAGTTTCTCCTCTATGCACCAAAGAAAACAGGAGTGCACTTCTCTCGCTCCTCAAACAGCGTCTCCCCCCCGACTCTTCCTCCCCCCTCTCCCCTCGCAGGTGGCCCCGTTCAGCTACTTTGAGCGAGGCTTCAGGGCTACGGGAGGAATTCACATGTAAATAGGCCACTCGTTCTCAATAGACTGGGGGAAGAAAAATGAATCCCGTCATGATAACCTTGCATAATAAGCAGGCCTGGAGTGTGCATACATTGCAATGTTGCCTTTTTTAAGTACACAATGGGATAAATCCTAAAACTCAGCAGAATAAGAGAAGCCTCTAGAGGTGGATTTATGGAAAATGTAACATTAATGTGTCATGGCTGTGCAGAGAAATGGCCTCAAATGATGCACTTTGCAATATATCTCCATCTAGCAGTGGCCTTATTTATTCCAGTATATGTATATTTTCCTTTCAAAATAAGACTGTAGATTTAAGAGATTCTCCTTTTTGTGTTTTGTGGAGCCACAAAGTTCAAGGTCACAGAAGTCATTTACACAGTCTCACAAACCCAAAGGCATGCACTCACGTCCAGCTTCTCTTTAATCCCCACACTTGTTTTCACCTTGTTTTCAAGTGAGGATTATTTAAATTTCACTTTAATGACTCTCACTGGGAGCACAAGTCTCACCATCCTGCCAGAATAGCCGCTATCTTTTATTGCTGATGTGAATTTCTCACAGACTTTTATTTACTTTCCCCTGATGAAGACTAATAAAAAATACCTAACAGCATTCAGCCTCTACTTCCCAGGCTTTGTTATTTACAGGGCTTTAACAGTAATAGTCATGATCGCAGTCTGAGCTGTTTAAGTGTCTTTAGCTTGTAAAAGACTTTTGTTTTAACCATTATGTTATTCCTAACATACTTCAGGGCCTGTGTCCACTGACAGCATCTTTTTTGTTGCACTGGCATCCGTTATTTTTATACAGTAGTAGTAGTAGTAGTAGTAGTAAATGTCTGTTTACCTATTTATTTTAAAAAATACTTCTCAAATTAGGAATATTTAAATATTTGAATAGAAATAAAGTGTCCTCTTTTGTTGTTAGAAGGCATTCAGCACAAACTTACCAAGCTGAAAGACTCGAGTGTAAACAGGCACCAAAGTTGACCTTAACAAGACCTGGAAAACAAATCAAAAACCATAAAACCAGTCTTGTTCAGCATTTTCAACAGTGGCTGTTTTCTGTCATTTAGCTTATCCCAGACACTGACCAATGAAATTCCTGATGTCAGTTTTACCAACATCGATGGCAGAAGTCTGTTGCTAGGCTAAGTAAGCCTCACTTGATTTCACTTATGCCGGTTGTTTTTCTGTTTTCTTTCTAAAACTATATTGAATAAAAGTAAATTTGAAGCATACAGAGCAATTTAACACAGAATCAACAGAAGTACAGCACTACAACTTTTGTAACCTAGCAACAGTAAACAGTTGAGAAGCACTCTGAAACTGATGTGGGCACAACCAGAGCAGAGAAACGTTGTAAGTGGACATAGGCCCTTATTCATTTTTCATCCCGAGCAAAATTTTCTACGATAGAATTTAACTTAAACCCAAGCCAGTTTAAATTAGCAAATGCATTCAATGTCTATTGTTGGCATAATTATTTCTAAGTCTTTTATTTGTATATTAGAGAGAGGGGGTTTGGTCTCTGCTTTTGTACTAAACATGAATGCTGCATCATTCTACGCCTTGGATATACTTTAAAACACCCCACACCAGCCTCACGTGATTTATTGTACCTTCAATGAACTCCCAATACGATAATATTTGCTATTATTGATTCATAACTTGGAGCTGTGAGATATAAATCTCCAAAGAGTAGTATGACCTCAAGCCAAATTTCAAGTAAACGTGAGCAGGGAAGTCATTGCAGCTGTATGAAAACAAAGTGCTGGGCTGTGATTTATGGTTTTTCATAACGGTGACGCCGTCATGTGAATTAAATGTTACCTTTTTTAGATTTTTGAAGGCCTTTTCTTCCTTTTCACTCTTCATTGTCTGATGGCATTAAAACTCTCACGTCAAACACCGGGTTGAATGCACGGCACGTAACATCAACTCCCAGATGCATGTCAAAGAGAAACGTCCAATCCAACAACTCAAAGCGTTTTTTATACATCGTTGTGTGCACACATAATCTCAGGATTACAGACTGAAGGCCAATACCAATGAATTTCAGCAGCTATTGTGCAGCTTTAAGCATGCACTCAGAGCGTCAAGCAGGACTGAATTTGCCTTGGCTTCTGCAGTCGCTGGCTCCCATAGCAACAAAGACTGAGGCTCATGGGTATTGTAGTATGGGCACAGCCATTTGTCACATCAGACTGTAAGAAAAGTTGAACTACTTCAGAAGGATGAGCCAAACATAAAATTAAATTATGCATGAGACTCTGTGATAACTTGTGTTCCCATGTGGAGTGTTTTTCGGGTGTGCCTGTGGGGGAACTCGGAGGATATCATTAAAATAAAACTCTGTCATGGGGATTTACAGTGCAGGGAATTCTTAGCTCCTCCTCACTTTTGAGTGTTGTCATATGCTGTAAAGAAATCTCACATGTTCACTCAGCAGGACATTTTGTACTGTACTCAGCTACATGCTGCCCAACCTGGAAAATAACTGACAAACTGGATCCCGCCTCGGGCGAGAGCGGCTCCGGTGCGGTTTGATAGCTGTAATGGGTGGGAATTCTTATCTGGATGAGCTGCTCCAAACAAGACGTGCTTGCATGGAGCAGGGTGCTTTTTATTTTTGTGTGGGTTTGAGTGTTTTCTTGCCAAGCACACCATGTGAGGTTAATGGGTTAATGGATGGCCCCGAGAGATTTATTCACCCTAATCTAAGTCTCAATGAGGACTGTACAGGAACAGGAGCTGGAAAGGGCAGGAGATGTGCAAGAAAGATGACCAAAGGAAGCGGTTCTGGTAGTGCAAGTCTCTCTGTATGGTTAAAACACTGAATTATTAGACATAAATCAAAAGACGTGTAATGTACTGTGCTTTCTGAGAGCACAAAAGTACAAAGTAATCCCTGTGGAAGTGCTTCAGCAGATCAAAAGAGATGACCTGAGGTACACTACCAGGAAGGGCAGCAGGACGGAGGCATTTTAATTGATTTGCACACACTGAAAGCTGGCCTGGCTCGCAAAGAAAGGGAAGTAAATTTAGGAAAAGTGTGATTATACCTTTGCCCTTTTTGAGTTTCCTTCCTTGGCAAACAAGTGAGGAAAAGACACCTGGGTCTCCCGACACAAAAACATGATTCATCAACATGTGACAAAACTGGGACATTTCTGGGAGGCTGCCAACCAGCATTTGACGTTCAGATCAAGCCAGGACCCTTGAGATTCACTCCCCCTCACTCCCTTTTGCTTTAAACTGTCTACAAAAACCCTAAAAGACAAATAAGGGGGTTTAAATTCACCTATCACTCGAGTGCATGCTGCTGTAGCCTCTAAGTCCTACAAATGTGTGAAAAAAAAAAAAACAGGGCTAAGGACATGTCTTTTCTAATTTTAAACACACAATCTCCCATGAGACTTAGCACCAAAACCCCACAGCAAGGTCATAATTATCACATTTTAACTGGAACAGATATTTATGTGGTGGGGGGATTTTTTGGCGATCCAGCCTGTGAGCAATGCAAACTAACCAATAGCATCACACCGTTTATTTTGGACAGCCAGCTGCCACGCTAGCCTGCTGGGCTCATAGTCATCGATTGTTGCAAAGGAATGAGGGAGCAAATGGTGTTAATGCACGTGGCTAATGCATACACACCCAGCACAGTCCTCAAATACTGGGTAACACCCCTGACTGCACAGCCTCCTGTCCCAGCCTGTTGTGCTGGGTTCTGCTGCCTCCAGACTGGACTGACAACATTTCAAGTGTTGAGGGACCGCCTGTGTGCGCTGCAACGCACTGGCGCATCTACTAATTAACCTTTCACACAACCGCAGCAACAACAAAACTGCTGAGACACTCAAGCTGCTTGACTGTGGAGGTATTTGGAGGACTGTTTTCTGGATTCTAGTTTTAGTCTTTAATCCTCTGGTTTGTGTGTGAAATGTATGAGACATGCAGTAGTAATTTTGTCTAAGGTAAGCTTATTAGACATCACACAAATAGAGTCAGCAGGTAATCAGAGTGGCAGCTACCACAGCCAACATTAATGTATTTGGCAGGTGGAAGGTGAGCTTCTCCTTTAGGTTTTAATTACTATTTTTAAAGCAATCCTAATTTAGGATATACGTGAGTGATGCAATACTTCATAACTTTATTTTACCCAAGGCACCAGCCCCATCACAAAAACCTGTCCTAACTAAGATATTGAATAACTAAAGAGTTGATTTTGGTGATTTTATTTATTTTACATGCTACTTTTGGTAGATCATAGGTTAAGGAGCTGATTAAATCCGCTGAAGAGTTAAAATGTAAAAAAACAACAACATTACTATCAGTTAGATTAGTTGACGTAAAATGAAGCGTGACACAATTCTGCAAAACTTAGCAATAAACTCAATTGGCAAACTAAAATAGCATTACCCATATCTACTGATATTTAAAGTTCTGTTGTAGCTGCATCTCTAGCTTCATGATAGAAACTTCTTTAGAGAAGACATTGACAAATAAAAAGATTTGTCTGTGACGCTTTTCAGTTGAAATGTTTACCGTCTTGCATTTAAGTTTTTTTTTTTCCTATATTATTAAAACATGCTTTTATTTTGAAATGAAGTACATGATACCTTTGGTAGATCAACAATTTTAAAAAATCCTGTAGATGACAAGTTACAGAGCGGAATTCAAACATCTAAAACATGTTAGAGGGAATTTGTTTTCACCCTGAAGAAGCATAAGCTCTTATGTTGTTTTTGGTGGCATGATGAATCTTCAAACATTGGTTCTACGTGTCTGAGCATGGAGCCAACTACCTACTTTTCTGTTTTATAGTGGATAACAACCAGCAAAAAGAACGATTACCCCCCAGCATGTTACCATATGCTTATCTTTAGTTTTTCTCATACATTTATACATTTCAAAGACTGTTATTGTCAATTATGATAGTAGTGTGTTACTTTGTGATTGTTGCCATGGATACAGATAGAGTGGGCTGTCCATAACATAGCTCAGGCCTACAGCCAGATCAACGTGGACAAATGCATCCCAGACTGCCTCCAAGTGTGACCTAAGTGATCAGGTCTCAGCCCACCTTCAAATGGGAGTGTGTGCAGCTGTAGTTAAAACCATTCACTTGTGATCCTAACATCTGAAATGGATCTTGATACCTGGTGTAAACAGTGACAGTAACAAACTTTCAATGACCTACCGCAGAGAACAAATCTGCAAATCAGCACACACTAAGAAATAGGAGCTATGATATCGCATAGAATGATTCAACTGAACAGTCTGGTTTGAGGTGTGTTCCTCAAACAACACACTCATTGTCAAAACAGTTAAAAAGGAACCAAAGAAGATCTCTTTAATAATGCACAGAGGGAAGACTGACGCTGCAAGTGTTTTGTTTTTTTTAGACACACCTAGCACCACAGTCACATGGAGCAGGACAATTACCCCTGCAATGTCGCAATTCAGCAGCTCCACCGGGAGAACTGGTGGCTCTGTGGCCTCTTTAAGGGCAAACTGACAGATGTGCTCACATAATATTTGGCCCCATAACCATCCCTGCAGATTCCAACATGCTTTTTAGTGCTCAAGTATGCTGCTACTCCAGTGAGCTTAGGTAACAACCCTGGACATCTTTCAGCGCCTGATTTTAGATACAAGCATATTAATGGATAACAATGTGGACATAATAATACCCTCCAGAGTTAGAATTTCTCTAAATATGTTTTATTAGGCAAAACATAACCTGTCTAATGACAACATGGCCTACACAGACCAGCTACAGTAGCATTTGTTGCTATGTTGCCCACACATTTCTTTGAAAATCCAACACATAAGCTCTATCAAAAACTTGTAAACTTCATATGAAGTAATTATCTAAAGTGCTCTTAGAAAACAAGATATAAGCCTGCAAACAAATCGATAATAATGCATGATAATACTTTTCTTAAACAAAGAAAGTCCAGTGTAAAAAATTAGCAAAGTATAATTACAAATGAAAACATTGAAATAAAACTGATGAATATTTCATTGACCCCGTGGTGTAATAACCTTCAACCATTTACCAGATAATCCCTTCAACTCTTTAAAAACTTCTCTTAAATTATTTTTGGTAATCATGTTTTGAACAGCCATTCATGAGACATACAGCATCCTTAACTTCTATCACCCTTCCTGCCCCCAGACCCTCAGTGCTTTTGGATCCATAGCAAAACCTCTTTAGAAACATATCCACACATGTCTGAAACTTTCTTGTCTTCGTACTGTATTCCTTTTTCTGTGTCACTTCCTGCTCAACAGCATCATCACAAGACCAAGGCCGGGAATCCTACATCTCAATTTTTGGACTGATAAAACTCAGCTTATTGAATCTGGACCTGCACTCAGGACAGAATCCTTTGTTTCCTTCACATAAAAACAACAGTCACAAGTCTGTCTTGGTTTGACTTTATCTCTTTTTCCTCTGCTGCCGCAGCACCTTTCTCCTTTTGAGGATCATGTCATGGAGTTTTTCCAGACCCTCCCTGAGTCCATCACCTATAATAGCACAGGCTGGCTGCAGGTGCCAGGGGGTTGCAGGACCCAGCTCTTTCAGCGCCAGCAATTTCTCAATTTCAGCGAGTCCCAAAGAGTGCCTCAAGTCCTGTTTGTTGGCCACCACCAGCAGAGGCACCCCCTGGTTCTCAGATGTCTTGGCGATTTTATGGAGCTCCGTCTTGGCTTCCTCCATACGCTCTGCGTCCACAGAGTCCACCACAAATATAATGCCGTCCGTGCATCGTGTGTACGATTTCCACAGGGGGCGAAGCTTCTCCTGACCCCCTACATCCCAGAAGTGGAACGTCCCTGTTGCATGGCCGCCCAGAGACAGTTTCACCTTCTCTGCATTAAAACCTTTGGTGGGCACAGTGTTCACAAACTCATTGAACTGCAATCTGTACAGAACAGTGGTCTTCCCTGCTGAGTCCAGCCCAAGGATGGCGATGTGGAACGACTGGAAGAAGGGGATGTTTGAAAGGAGACTCGGTTGCTCTGACAATCCGTTCCCCATCTTTCCTCATGAGGAAGGATTGGTGATTTAGGAGATTTGATCCAGTTGTCTGACAATAATCCTCAGAGCTGAAAATATTCCAGATTGACTGCAGCAATGACCTAAAAACATATTGCACGTTATTTTGGATGAAACACAGGCTTACAGAAGCATTTGCACTTGAAGTAAACTCAAGCATCAATAAAACAACAACAGTCTATTAAATTTTGAGGACTGTCTTCTCCTTTTTTCTGACTGGTTGACCTGTATGACCGAAAATATTGCTCTAAAGTAGCACAGGTAGAGAAAAGTCAACAAACTGAGTTATAACTTCCATAACGTAAATCTATCAGAAGTTTGACAACTTAAGCTGTCCTAATCTACTTGTCATACCAGAACGAGGAGAGCTGTCGCAGCAAAACATCGCCTGTACTTGTTTCAACAAAGGTGACTTTTATTGCTTAGCAGCCGTTTTCATGTAATGAGGTGTCTATATTACACTACCTGGAAAATTTGATGTTTACTCTCACCTATTCATTAGTTTTATTTATAAAGGAGGCATGTAAAAAGATAACCATGAAGGTTACCACTTAATGTTATGTACTCTGGCAACTTCCATCTGCAGGTCACAATTAAAACATCCACATGATAAATCAGCATTGAGCAAACGAGAGAGCAACACAAGACATAATTACATCAGCCTGCAGAAAAGGAGGTTTTATGACACTACTGACTCAACATGTTATTTAAATTATGGTGTAGTTTTAGGGTCGTTGAGTCATGCTATAAAAAGGTTGTCCTGTTTCTTTGAAAAAAGGCAAGTGATGTTGGTGACAGATTCAGATCAAGGTCCAAAGTGGTGCATCATCCGTTACAATACAACTTTATGACCAGAGAATGAACCATATACTAAATCTGATCTGAAATTTAAACAGTCACCCATAAAATTGACAAGGTGACGCAAAGCTAAAGCATTTTTCAACACAAATGGAAAAAAACAAGACTGTTTTTTTCAAATTCAAGTCACACAACATCATATTCAGTGCCTGTTATAGTAAAGCAGTCCAACAAAGCCAACATTATTTTCTAAGTTAGATCCTGTGGTGTTCCTCTTAGGGCCTGGCTGATCATTTTGCTTTAATTTCAGTAAATGACACATTGAATTTTGCATTTTAAATACAGTTTAGACGCCAGTGCCTTTGAATTGTACCTAAAATGACATTTAATCTGCAGAAGACTAACAGGCAGGTGAACAGATGCATGTTTATGCCCTCTCTGAAACAGGTTATCAACCAGTATGAGTAATATACAGAAAAATCATTCAATTCAATCCTCTCAGAACAGGAAAACGCCACTCTGTATTGTCTTAACTACATAAAAATTAACTCACTTCGTATTTCCCTCTCGTATATCGGCAGGTCGACGGAAAATCCTTCCCAGAAACAGAAACACTCCCTGCTCTGTGCTCGGTGTACCACTGTGTGGATCTACCACTGATGGCACTGCTGTCAGTCTGGCTCCACGCCCACACTAACACTGCGGACGCATGCGATTGGTGGTTGTTCTCTGTGCTCTGCCGGTCGATTGGCTATAAAGGCTGTCAATCAAGCGTCTGCCCGGGAACCAGGATCACCTGTTGCTCCGTCTGTCTGTCATATCATTTCACTTCTGCACATTAATATTTTAGCGAGGATAAACATACTGCAGAGGCGCTTGGAGTCGATTTTCTTTATTAAAACGACTGAAGAGGCAACAAAGGTATAACTCATTTCAACTTGGATGTTTAAGTGTTTCAAACTGTTAAGGGAATACACTAAAAGCGTTTTGTCGACAGAATTTAGAGTTAACTGGACCGACAACATCTACAAACGAGACTTTAAACTTACAAATGTCATTCAAAATACAACCTTATCGCCTGTGGTGTTTTGTAGCCCACAATTAGACACAAATTGACCCCGAAACAGCTCAGAAACTCTCCGAAACAGTCGTGAAAACGCAAAAAGTTAGCTAGTAGCCATACAAGAGTAACGAAAACCCTCGTCGGCACATTAAGGTATCCTAGCAACCGAACTTACCGTTGATTCAGCGCGTGAAGGTAGAATGTTTTCCTTTTTCAGCCTGCGCGCGTGTGTACGTGTGTGTATGTATGGGGCTCCCCTGCAGTAAAAGCCCCGCCCCGTTCATCCGCGTGTTTTTGTTTGAAATGATTGGTCGGGGGGGAGGAAGAGCAGCACGCGGACTACGGCAGCCTATCATACATGAAGGATAACAAACAGAAAGGCCTCCGAGCTACTTTCTTACATAACTTAACTCAGTTTCTGACCAGTTTGAGTCACAATCATTAGTTTGATTTTGATAATATTTTACATGTCAGTCAAAACGTGGAGCAAAAACGGCTAAGTCGAGTAAAGTACAAACAACTACTTCAATTCAATTATTGAATTTCCCTTTGGGGATCAATAAAGTTCTTATCTTGAAACAGTGACACAGTAGTTACTCAGTTTCAATAAAGATATCCATCCTAATAATTTCACCAACTTTGCTCAAAGTGCACTTTAAACTTGTGCTTGATAAATAAAGATAGTTTGTACAGCTGCTTACATTGGTAAACTAAAAAAAGTGATAATGGTGTACGCATAGACTGTATGTACTGTGGACAACTTGGTTCTGCCTTCTGCCGGTATGGATTTGAAGCCGAAAAGCTCTGTAATTCTGCATTTTCGCTCCATTTCCTGTAACCAACATTGCGCACCAGCATTGGGCGCATTCGGCGGGAGATTCACTGATAGTTGCTGTGATGACACTCGGCTCAAACAGTGTATCCCCTGGGCGCGATTTTTTTTTTTTTTTTGTAGGGGAAAGTCCCGCATCCTTTGCCTCTGATTGGCAAGAAAAGCTGGAAACATCATCACACGCTCAAGCCAATCGCGGGCTGTCGGCTTTGTACATCGAACAGAACATTATCGCACTTCTGACTCTCCTAACCCTAATCCTAATTCTAACCAGGTGGGAGAAAAAATTATACTCTGTGTAATAAATTTCTAAAGTTTGTCCACAGCTCCATAAACTTTGCTGGCGGAGGCGGGATTTATGACCTATACTGTACCCCGCCAACAGAGGGTGCTGTTCTCGGAGTGGCTTCACCCAGCGAGGAGGCAGACGCTGTCCATTCAAGATACAGTCTATGGGTGTACGCTTGACAGGGAGCTAGTTTTTTACTATTTTAAAGGCTGCATAAGAGCGGATCCCTGTCTACAGTGGCTCCCATATTGCAAGCTACATTTCAACAGTGGCTCAAGAAGGACAAGCTAGTAAGAGGTATATGCATTTTTAGTATTTTAAAATTGGCTGCCTGAAATGCACCAGGTGGACTATAAAGGAGAGAAGGGAGATTGTTTTCGTTGATAATTTTGATGGTAAATGGTAGACAAATCACAGCAGCTTACTGTTCTAGCAGGCCAACATCACTGTACCAATCTGACCATAGGATATCACTAGATATTCTCATTTTTACACATGGTACCTTTAATTGTCAAAGAGCAAAAATTAAATCACAAAAGCAGATTTTTGCTGAATAAAGTAAAATAAAAAAAAACAAAACCCCATTTAAATCATGTTTTGCATAGTGCTACTGTCTTCAAATCTTCATATGTAAACTTGTAAACATATTCTTAAGATACTGACTCCACATCACCATTTTCATGTTTTTATCATCCAACTTAATTTAATCAAAATCAACACTTTACTTTCCAAATGCACGCGTCACTGTTTTTTGCAGCCTGCAATGAATAAGAATGTACATGAAATGGACACTAAATGGTTACTAAATAAACAGTCAGGTATTTTAGTCCGTTAAATTGACGCTATATGGAGAATTTTAAACAGACAGCACACCACAGGGACCATTTTTAAAATTGCATTTCAAGTAATGGTCTCATCTTAAGCCTCAGCTGTGCTAAGCTTTAATTTTTTTATTTTCAAGACCAAAAACAGGTTAAAAAAAAATAAAAAAAGGAAAGGATAGGAATGGAGTCAAACAAGAAAAGCACACGACGCCCCGGGGGTCTTTGGGTTTAATGCCGTAAATATTCTTTTCATTTTATATTTAGTCCGTGAGTTCTGCACAGATGACTCATTAAACGCATATGTGCAGCTATTTCAGAAATGCCTTTAACATGTGCAGGGCTCACATGGTTATCGTTCTTGGGGTACCAAAGGAACAGCTGTCAGAGGGACCAGCAGGGTCCATAATGTGGTGTGATGACCTTTATGACACCAGAGTCACTGAGTGTCTTCTGCCCTCAACATGAAGCCCTAGAAATCTCTGAATGTCACATGAACTCAGTCCTTTTTATTTCATCTTTGCTCTTCAGTCATTACTCAGTACTAGATACTCAGTCACATATTTATACTGCTTATTTACTCAAGAAAAGTATCACTGGCAAATTAAAGTATAACTTACAGTGTCTGTCCTGCAGTGTCCAGTCATTGAGGGGTTAATCAATTTGTCACATTATAAATCTGTCCTATATCTATATTATTTTGCTCTTTATGGAGTTTTATGTTAAACATTTGGACAGTTTATTATAAATGCAAAGTCATGACTTATTTTTCCATGACTTTGACAGTTTTGCCTCGACACGGTCCAAGAAGGCGCTGTATGCTCCTCGTCTCCGCCTGTGTCTCTGTGAAGCAAACAACCAACGTCAGAATTAAGAGAGAATTAATATTTAGAGAAGACAAGAAATAATCATTGCTACTTCATGTTTTTGCAGCTTTAAATCAGCATGTTTGCATGACTTTATTTCTTGGTTGTTGAGACATGTTGGGGACCGATCTATGTATAAACCTACGACCAAAAGTAATTGGAGGTGTTTTACATAGTTAAGTAATTAATGACTCTGATTTTTAGTGTATGAAACCTTAATCAGACAGTCATATACATGTACTTGGGGAAAAAACTTCAGTTTCACCCTCTGAAGTGTGAAATATTCTAGCGCAGTAACATAGATGGTTCATAATGCAGCTGACAAACTAAAATACTACTAACAGTGAAGGAAGCTGATTTTGGAGGCCAGGGCGCTTGAGGCAGAATGAGCTTTGCATCCCACTGTGGCTCTGGAGGTTTGAATGTGTCCATCTTTGACTTGTCATCCCCTGATGTGCAGCCTGACTCAGATCTAGTGGTCCCAACTAGAAAAGATCACACAGTAGATGTTGTTTAATCAGTTATTGTGCATCCAACATCTAACATTTTGGGAAACTTTCAATGCTGGTACACTAAAACACAAAGACAAAGCATCAGTCTAAACTCACATACGTAAAGATGTAAATATTAGAGAAGAGTATTCACTTTACTTACTAATATCCAGATTTCTTAATTTGAATTTCAGGTTACCAGGGTCTTTCTCATATGTGGTCACTATGTCTGGAAGGTCGTCATCAAGCTTTGATCAGAGATGGAAACAGAAAGGTAAAAGTTTTAGTATAGTGTTTGTCGCCATCTTGTGGTTAAATGACATATTAAAACTACTGAGGCGCCTGTACCACACTGTACACATACTCCTCTAAGAGTAAAAGTTCTGCATTGATAACCTCGCCCAAGTAAAGTAAAAAAGTACTTACTCACGTATTTACTTGAAGTGTTGAAACACAAAGTACTTAATTCTCAGCAAATATTTCATCCAAACAGGACCCTCTCTTCTGTACTGTTTGCATGATAACTACATTTTGTTTTCAAGTTAACACACAACATATTTGTGTATCTGCAGGTGCACTCACCGGTCTGAAGTCATGCGGTTTGGGGTTCCTGTACAGCTCAGAAGGATACTTCCCAGTCCTGACAAACATCAGCTCAGACTCCAGAGCATCAGGAGGCCTGTACAGTGTGATGAACTTCAGAGGCTCTTTCGTCCGGTGGTGACCCTCCTTTAAAACTGTTGGTAAAGTCACTGTGGTTCTCCTCTTTGTTACCTCAGGCTGCGAAACAGCTCGGCTTGTATCTCCTTTTTTTCTGTCTTTCCTTTGAGGGACTGTCAGAGACTTGTACAGCTTTAAGGAAAAATCTGGCGGCTTGATGCTCCACACGTCCACTCTTCGGTTTTCCATCTCTGGGAGTTTGAACTGTTGGCTTCGTTTAAAAATAAGCTGCTGATGTGCAGAGAACTGGGCTTTGTCTTCAAAACTCACTGAGGTCAGTGGGCGAAACAAACTGAATGGAGCCATTTTGAAAAATACAAAACAGTTTGTCTCCGTCCTGTCACTTCTCTAGAAAGTTTGGATATCCAGTTTGAAATTGACCTCACTGGACTATTTGTTCTTCTGTCAGGAGACATAGGAAAGCTGCAGAGTAGTACAAAGTTTGATTACAGACACAACCGTAAAAAGTGCTGCCTGGTAACGACGGCCTTTATCCTTCTAAACAAAAAGAATTAAGTTTAGTGGGCTGAGCTTAGCAGGGCATCCAACAAAAGCAGGAACTTAGCAACGGTGCAAACAAATTCCCCTCTAAATAGAACAACACTTGACATCTCCTTACTGTACCAATTCATTTAAACATAAAAAAGAGAACAACGTATAAGTAGACACTCCGATAGGCCATATTTTCAGTGTGTCAGGATTTTGGAATTGAAAGGGATTTTTTTGGTTATACATGTCTGTTTACTGCACACAAACTTCATTAAAGCATCTACTGCTTAAAAAAAATGAAGGTTTTCTCACTGTTCTCACTGTCAGAAAGTTTGGTTGGTTTTTCATATTACTGTTTCTATTATTTAGGAGCTGGAAATTTGTAGCATGTATATTAACATAACATAACATAATGTACTCTTGGCTGCACTCATGCATTGTTAAAATACATTTTTAGGTTATTTTAAAAAGTAGATTGAATACGACGCCAGAAAAGACACAGTTGGAGAAATCAAGTGTTTGACCTTTAATATTTGATTTTCCTTTATAACTTAGATTATTTTTTGATGCAAATTTGTCTGACTAACATATTATTACAGCTGTGAAATGAATATAAAGATGTCTTGATTGGTAAAATAACAACGCTCCCCTCTTGTAATGTCAGGACTTTGCCCACTAGATGGCAGCATATCGTTCACATAGTGAAAGTCAAAGAAGACTAAACACAGTTGGGAAAAGTTCTGCTTAAATACCTCTTACAGAATCAGGCATCACACCCTCCACTATGATTTTATTTTGTGTTTGTAACCCATTTAGCCGAGACTGAACTGACATCAAAATTTGGCTGAATGAGTCAGAGAAAGTATGTCAGTAGAGAACTGTATCAGATAAACTGTACCTCAATCACTCAGTGTATTTCAGCAGCTTTTTCAATGCCAACAGTATTCTCCAGGGGCAGGTTAAGAACTGGCATCCAGAGATGATGCGTCTACCAGACTTAAAATGGAGCGGTAAAAAAACAAGCTGTTTCATGTCTACCATTGCGACATGAGGCATTTTTATTACCGAAACCTCAGAGAAAAGTCAGGGCCACCACCATTAAATGTGATATCTGTCAAATATGAACATATGTGTTATATATTAACAGAGCGTAGTACAATACAGTATTTGTAAACTTTTACTTTTAATCTACACACTGACATTCATATGAAGTAATCTCATCTGCCCACAGAAGCGTAGTCTTACTAAAAATCTACCTCTGTAGTCACTTAAAGTATAAGTTTCTCTTTTTGGTTGCTTCTTTTGATAATAACCTAAAATGAAACAGTGAAACAAATAAATTAAAGCAGGTATTAAACACGGTGGAGTATTATTAGACGGATAATTCCCAAAGAGCTCTCAAAAACAGCTAAAAAGACGGTGAATACTAAACTTAGGTGGAAAATGGACTACTCTTAATATATGCCAGTCTAGCTTTTGCTCCTCCTGAATGTGTAAATGGAAAACTCTGCAAACATGATCCAAACTTTTTCACATTAAAACACTCAAAAGTTGTTTTTTACAGAATTATCTGCTGCCTCCAATTGTGAAAAACTGATAAAAAAGAACAAAATCCAGTTGGAGCAGCTAAACAAATGAACAGATGAAGCATTAGTAAAGGATTCGTCAGTCACATATGAGGATAAACTATGCCAACTATGTATTGTTTTGCCTATTTTTATTTCAACTTTACAAACCGGCTGCAAAAATCATCACTACTTATTACAATAAGACTTGTTGTACAAATTGAATCATTCACAGTGGCAGTTTCAGACAAAACATGTTATAAAAGGTATTTACAGTAAAAAAACAGGATCGACAGAGGTCAAAGCTGTGAGAGCCTTACTATAAGCAGACAAGCTCCCTTATGTAAACACAGATCTGTATGCAGCAGGGTTTTCCCAGACAGTTGTTGCAGCGGTCACTTTGTTCGTGCCGACTCTGACAGCTGACACAAGGGGGCAAAGGCAACAGGAAACCCGAGCCGAGTCCAAACAGCGCCTGTAGAGGAGCTGACCTCACTGCCCCTGTTAAACTAAGAGCTGCCACCGTCAGAGGCTCCTGTCGTCCGCCGACCCCTCAGCTCTGCGTTTGAGAAACTCCAACCATTGTGTCCACTAACATCTGAAGCCACTGTGCAATCTGTGGCTCGGCTGAAGCAATTACAGCAGTCTTTTGTAAGACGTGACAGCCAGGGATGCCAAAGTTGACCTCTCTCCTCCGAGTGGCCTCAGCCGTCTCCATGTCACTCTGACGACATGACGGAGCCTAATTTCATTGTTGCCTGAACACCAAGAGACAAAGTACCGCAGATAAATCTCACTGGAGCACAGGAGCTTGTAAATCATGTCAATGTAACTGCTTTAGGAAACAGAAACCAAATGAAACAGAGTGTCCAAGTCTGGGTAGATGAAACTACTGGCCTCATTTCTGGACTTTCTTCTATTCCTGTCCAACATTTGACTGTGTGTCAGGACCTCCATCTGTTTTTACTGTTGCTTCAGAGGCAAGAGCAGGTTTTTTAAGATTTCCAGATCAGAAGCTCTTCCTTCCTTTTGCTATTTGCTCTCATTTCAGGTCAGATGAAGGGGGCATACGGTGTAAATCCATGAGATGACGAAGCTTTTTATGTCAGCAACGTAGATAAATCACACACTCCTACATCTCTTGAACGTTTGTCATTTTTTGATGAAGGACCAAACTTGTTTTTCTTTCAACTCAACATCCCTGTGGGTCATTTGTTCATGAGGGAAATCGAGGTCTCTCTCAAACTTTAAAACAGCCCTCAACGGGAAAAAGTCCATATAAGGAAACTGAGAAACTACAAATCATCACGCACCGTATCGTAACGTAACGTAATGTAATGTAACGTAACATATCGTATCGTAAATCAGTAACACTTTGGTAGGGCTGCTAAGCTAGATTTCTAGTTTCATGATCCTATGAGGACATTTTGGACACAAGCAGGTTAATCCAGATCCTACAGAGAAGGTAAACCCTGAGAGGAAGTTTTACACCAAAAGCCAGTGAACACCATCCCTGTAACTAACTTCAGAGATACTCAAGCGTCGCTGTTTTCCATGGTGGTCTCGCCTACAACTTCATGACTGTAGATACGGTCTTCAGGTATGTTTGACTCTGACAGGATTCGGGGGATTTCTCAGGTTTAAAGGTCAGACACTGTACACACATTGTTTGCATTGTTGATGGATAGTGTTGACTGGTCAGTCTGGCTCGGGGTATGTGATGGGAGGCTGGTTGTCGGGGGTGGAGGCAGAAATAGCTCATGTCATGACCTAGCTACTCTTGAGGTCACATTTGGCTTCTACAGTAACTAAACACAAATCTCTGCAGCACACCTGAATGACAAAAGAAACCGACAACAGACAGTTTTTATGTTTTTTTGTTCTCTCCAGATGAGAAACCAAGCACAATCTCCGTTTAGTAGAACCATTCTTATTATTTAATCAAGTTTTTAACTGTTTAAGACCAAAACTAATGTAGATACGTCACCTTTAGAAGAAAGAAAAGGCCATCAACAATACAGCAGATTATTTTTCTGGTAAAGTTTTTAATGAGGAGGAGGTGTCACACCAGATGACTGACAGCAGCCTGAACCAATCGTCTTCTGCTACTTTCTCTAAATCAAATACTCTCAGTGAGCGATACATTTCACTTTCACATTTTGGTAAATTCAAGAAAGAGACCTGACTTACGCTGCGCCTGCACCATGACGCCGGCGAGGCACGAAAATAGGGCCCACTGTCTTGATTTTGCACTTTTTTCCTTGCAGGTGATGGAGAGAGGAACTAAAGACGGAGAAGCAACACTGGAACTCTGTTTACATTTTGATTCAGATCTAGACCCGGTTTAATTGGAGTAAGGGCGGGTTTATTTGTTGGTTACATGATTCCTTTTCTTTCAGTGCTCTGCTGGCCGGCGTTCCCCTCATGCACTGTTAAAATCTCTGAAGTTGTACAGTGAGTTTTCCTCTAAAGAGCAGAGGTTAAGGATGTTAAATATACAATAGTTTTTTCCCTCTGCATCATTTAACTGATATTAAACCTCCTGGGGAATGAAAGTGCTGCTTTTTCCCACATCTTCAAAGCTAATTATAATGAGAGAAAATTGCACATAATGAGCTCATGTGTGCAGATTTAAGTATTAAATGAGGTAATTATCCCTATTTGTTTACCACTACTTTACTCCCTGGATGCTACTTGAAAGCTACAAACTAACACGTGTTTTGTACTGATATTTTCACTCCACATAGAGGTTGATTTACATTAATTTTTGGTTGTGTGAAAGATGGTATGAGAACAGGGGAAAAGTGGGTTTTTACCTGATGGCTATTCCAGGCTCTTAGCAGGTTGATGGTCCAGGAGATTTATGAGGGAGGGGTTATATCCTCACTCGGCCTGGGAGTCAAACAGACGAGCCTCCGGATAAGACCGTCAGGCACCTCCATGCTGCACTGGGAGAGGAGGACAGGGGGGATAGTCGACTACCTGCACAGCTGTCACTTTTCCAGTGTGTTCAAGCTGACCTGGCAAGAGGTTAATTCATCATGAATCACCGCAGCTCTAACCAAAACAGACACCTTTTCTAACTCCTTATCTAACATCCTCTATCAAACGAGCCATGTTTGTTTTGTACAGTTATTAGTGTACCATTACTCCCTCTGTTTTCTCATTTCCTCTTTTAAAGAGATTAACTTCAGATCTGCAACAGGACAATCAGCTGCAGCTCCTCAGCTCCCGACAGTGAAACCTGATATCCGTGTAGCACGTCTGCAGTTAGAAAAATGTAAAAAGGAGCGGTTGGGAAAAGGCTGTGAATGTGATATTTAGTTCATCCAAAATCCCACTCTTTGGCTGACACCATTTCACTGAAAAATGCAGCATGTGGGCCGTCTGCTTTAGTGGTTTGGAGTGATGACTAATGAAATATCAGCAGCTGGCCACAAGTGAACCTCCGTGATTAGACCGTGAGAGTTTGCTCTTTATGAGAAATTGGATCAACTTTCTTTCTTTGGTGCAGACAGTTTTACAGGATTAATTCAATTTAGGTTTTTACTTTGATAATTCATCCATAAAGGGGAACTTTTGTAAAAGCCCAGATTAAAATGATAATGTGTATATCTTAATTTTAACACTTGGATCAGTTTTGATAGGACGTCTGCTGAGTATTTTACAATAATTTGCGCATCGATTTTTTTAAAGGTTTGGCTATTTTGTAGTATAACCCCAATGTCAAAAAAAAGCGGGATGCCGTCAATAGTAAAGAATTTTATGGTTTGCTAGTAAATTAAACCCAACCTATAAATCAAATAGTGCAAAGACAGCTTATGAGATGTTGAAACCGAAAAAAATTACTGCTTTATTAAAAAGTTTGCTCTTTTTAAGTTTAATCACAGCGACTAGATTGAAAAAAGTTAAAACATTTATTGTCCCTGTACCTTCAGATGCTGACTTTTAACTGTATGCTTAAACAAACTTGGAGGTCCCTGGTCTTTTTAGAGTGCAGACCTGGGTGTCCATGACTTCCAAAAAGAATGTCAAATCCTAACTTGTCACTCCACAAGACACCGTCTCACTTTGCAGGGACTTGGGCCCAGAGAAGTGGGAGGACGAAAAACAGCTTTATTTGACTGACATGCTTCGGCTTTTGACCTTCATCAGAAATGTATTAAAACAACACTTAGATAGGGTATTTAAGTGTTGTTTTTAATACATTTCTGATGACCCTGATGAAGCCGAAACACGTCAGTCAAATAAAGCTGTTTTTCCTGAACTACAAGTGTTGCTGAAGCTCCTTCGACCTTTTTCCGGCCCAGAGAAGTGGCCATCAGTTTTCTGCCTCATAGTCATGCATGTTTTACTCTTTGCTTGATGCATTTTATCCCTCATTTGTGGGCGAATGAACAAACTATCCACAGATAGTGTTTGTTGGGAGAGATTTAGAGTCCATGTGGTGATTTCCACTACAGAGTCATGTTCATTTTCAGTTCAGTGCTCACTGATAGCTCAGAGATCATGGCCATCCAGTGTTGGTTTCTTGCATTGTCTCTTCGTCATTGTCATTTTTTTCTCCTGCAAGTTATGCTGAGAAACAACTGTTGAACAATTTTTTCTATTTTTATCTATTTCATTTTCTTATTTTCACTTTAGAGCAATGGTTCTCAACTGGTGGGTCCCGACCCAAAAGTGGGTCGCATACACGTTCTGGATGGGTCACGAACAGCTGGTCAAAAAAGTGAAGATTAACGCGGTATTTATTAGATATTTGATCATTTCTGTATAAGCAACCTCAGTAGTTGTCGTCCTCATGTTGTCCCCTTCATGTGCTCTGAAATGCACTTTACTCAATAAAACCAATTCTATAATGAATTCTATAAAAGTGGGTTGCGACTTAAGGACTTTGGGAAAATGTGGGTCCCAGAGTGAGAGCAGTTGAGAACCACTGCTTTAGAGGGATCCTTCTGGAGTTATCTTTTTATACCCAGTCATGTTGCTGACCTGTTGCAAATTAACCTGATTGGCTGAAGATGTTCCTCCTGAGTCAATTATTCAATATAAACTACATATATCTTTATTTTTCTGTTTTAGCTATTCATTCAGTGCTTTAGTTCAGTGTTTGTTGCCTCTGTCCCAACTTTTTTGAAAGTGTTGAACATGTATTTTTTTTCTAGGACTATAGTGATTAATCCCTAAGACTGTTTTAACAACTGCACTAAGTCACACTCCACCTTTAAGTCCTATGTGTTTGACTGATACCTCTCAAAAAATCTTTAGAAATGTAAAAACATGTTCAGTTTTTTTTTCCCTTTAAAAACAGACCCTGGTCTTTAGTCTTTCACACTCTTGAAGCAGATGTGAGCAGAGGTTTCTGGAGGTCCGGGTCGTGAGAAGGTGTACCGCTGATGCCCCTCCTAACTCTGTGATGCTGCAGCCCGCAGCAGTCTGTGTCCAGCCGCGTCTCTCCAGCGTCTCCGTCCAGCCTCCACTCTCCACTCTTCTCCACCCTGAAGTAACTCCAACAAACCTGGAGGACCTCCTGAGAGGATTATACCCCGTTTCGCGTGTTTTGGTTCGGATTACGGAAACGCCGCTGCGGTCCTGTTGTTGTAGGGAGGACTTTCGGTAAATACGGTGCCAGTGCTCGCGCTTAGTGCTCGCGCTGTTTGGTTTCGACGATGAGACTTGGAGCAGTTTCCAAACTTCTTTATTTCCTTTTGTTTTTGCTTCCTAATGCAGTGCACGCTCAGACAGGTAAGATAACCTCCTCTGTTAGTCAGAAACTCAGGTGTGAATTGTTTGTGCGTGGTGCTAAATGTGTTTACGCGCTGTTTTCACGCATCTTGCCTCACTATTTTGAGGTGTTCCTGTAGACTTGCTTATCTTTCTTAAAGTTAACATAAGAATTAGTAAAAAGACAAATAAAGCACTTTTAATTACAATCTCACCAACTACTCTGAGTCTACGGGGATTTTCTTTTTATTACTGTGCCAACAAGAAGCTAAAATCTCCTCATCCATCATGTACCTGTCTTCCAAGGCCACATACCTCCTAGTCTCAGGGTCAAAGTGAAGATGTATTATGCTGTCACGGAGAACAGAAGAAGCAGTTCACCATCTTGTCTCCTGGCACAGGGGATGTGGACTTTTAGGAGGTTCCTGTCCAGCTCATGAGGATTAAAGAGACCAGGTGCTGAGAATAAAGATGGATGTCTATAAGCAGCTCTGACAGCGCCTGTCGTCCCTCTCAGCAGCTTCTTTGCCTGTCACTGCCTTGGCACATTAACTCAGGCTATCACCTTTCACTTGACCTTCAAGGTCAGGGCCAGAAAACATTGAGGTGGTGCACAGTAGCCCATGGCCTCATGGTTCTTTTTTCTTCCCTCCTGATTTCACTTTTGCGGCCACATGCTCCATTGGTTTTGTTTCTGTACTGATTACCTGCACTGTAAACCTCAAACCCCTCGTGTGTCTTTGGAGCTCAGTCAACCATCCCCACTTCCTGCTATGTGCAATAACTTCTTCGCTTGGAAGTCTTTAGGTATGCTACTGTAAGACTTGGAAACGCTCCCCCTTAAGTCTACCACCCTGTTTGGTAGCTGTGGGCGGCTATGAAAAGCTCTGGCTAATCCTTAATTATCACTTTCTGACAACCCTTGAAAATCTGTGATTTGTTTGCTTTAGTTGTGTTGAAATATTAGTTGCTGTTTTCCATTGTGTTTTACCGGTTCAGAGGTTCAGATACAATTTGACATGATATAATAAAACATTGATGATATATGATACTTCTTTGATCTTGATGCTGTTAAATGGACGCTTAGACTAATCTGTTAACTTAAGTAGTTCTTTAGTTTACTCAAATGTCAACCCAGAAATACTCAAATCTAATGACTTTAAACTAACTGTTAATTTTTGCAGATTTTGGCGCAATTTTCAGACAAATTTGTACGTCTTATCTCTTCGCTGATCTTAACTTAGACATGTGTGGATAATACTTTCAGACAAGATCCTTCCTGCTTTACTTTAACAGTCATATGTCTTGTTGTGAACATTTGCTTCATGTGGACAATATAAAGTTTTTTGTGATTGCTGTGATTGTTATCGCCTGACAACTACCCCATGATTACCCAAACTCCAGTATATAAATGCAGACTTTCTGTGTGCAGATGTATGATGACCTTGTATTTATTGGCTGCTGTAATGATGTCAAAACACTCACACTGTGTGTTTAAGAGTCCTCCTTTAACCTTTAACCTCTTGACCTTCTTTCCCTCCCTGTAGCAGTTTTAGGACTTCCTTCCAAAGAAAAAAAAGGTCTCACTCTTGAATCATCCAGTAGTCCTAATAGAGTTACCCTAAAACTGACATGACTGATCGTCAAACAGATCCCATAATGTATCCACTCCTCAAAAAGTCTTAAAAATGTCTTTCTCTAATCTAAGACTACTGACACGGTTTGTTTATCTCTGGTACTTATGTTGCTCCTCTGTCCTGACCTCCAGTACTCCCTCCAGAATGTGCACCAGGAGGCCACTCCATCCTCCAGAACCCCTACCGCAGCACCACCTTCAGCTCCAGCTGGCTGCAGCAGTCCGCCCTGCAGGACTTCATCTGTGACCACTCCCTCTCTCCAGGATGGTACCAGTTTCAGATTTTTGACAAGCCGGCGAGCATGCCCACCCAGTGTGTGGAGGTACACGATCCTTTGTTTTCTAAAGGTTCTTGATGGACAAATAGTGGATTGAATTCGAAGACACGTCAATTATTTTATTGATCATTCTGTCAGTCCATTTGTTTCAGTTTGAGTCTGATTATTTTCACATCTCGAGCCAATAAATCATATCCAGTGTACATTATGCTTCAACCATCTTCACTTATGTTAAAATTATCTTGGTTTGAAGTCTGACCTCATCAGTCCTGAGCTTTAAGGTGCAATTCAAGGACTCCAAACTGCTGAAGATTAAGTTTCTCAAACCTTCTAGTTTGAGGGTAAAGTTCCAACATTTTATAGAAACTGTTACCCTCCATAGATGTAAGAATCAGGTCGTTTTGCACACACAATGAGGCACAAAAACAAATTTACACAGAAATTAATCAAAGGTGGGTTCTCTTTTTTCAATATGGTTCAATTTTGACAAAAATCAGAGTTCATAAGTGTAGTATTTAAGCAGAAAGTTCCCAAATTTCAATATGTGCCAGCTGTGACCTCAATAAAGGTTGTAAAACTCTCCTGACCCTGACCCCCATTTAGAGAGTTTTCAGTTTACTGCATCTATCGCTCCTTGGTTTGCCTTTTGTCTCTGTTTTAGTTCATTACATCAGATTTGTCATTTTTTAAGTGTTTATGTTGTTGTTTCTCAGAAGTGTAAGTATATCAGCCTTTCCAAATCTCTCATGACTCCTTGTACAACCTCATGTGGAGACTCTGAGGTGGTCTCTCTCTGTCCTCACCTGGATGAGAAGATCTTCATGTCTGCAAGCATGACTGAGTTTGGACACACACACAGTTATCAGTGTGGGTCTTGTGCACATGATGAAGGAGAGAGCAAGGAGAGCTGGAATGTGTCTCATTTCCTGCGGCGGCCCGCTGTGAGGAGACCGCAGGATCCATCTGAAGTGTCAGCCTCGCTCTGCCTTCCCAGGGCATCGCTGCTCTCCTTGGGTGATGGATCTCCGCAGGAGTAGGTGGAGGAAGGAAGAGAGGATCGCTGTGAACATGTGTTACACTATGAGATGACGTCTTTGAGATGATGGTGGATAAACGGTTGGATTTGTCAGGCCAGCAGGAGCGTTGTAAAAATCTCATCCAGATTTATCACATTTTGAGACTTGTCTTGAAACAAAATGAGAAGGTTTCATCAATTTTCCTTTCACACAGTCAAAATATGCTCAAAATTGTGTGAATTTCTGTCTCCTTAAACATGCAGGTGAACCACTGTGGGACCCAGGCTCCTGTGTGGCTGTCTCTGGCTGAGGGCGAGTCCCTGCCAGGACCTCTGGAGGTCAGACAGCTGACGGCTTGTGCCGCCTGGCAGCTTTTCCCGAGCAACAACAGAGACTGCTGCATGTTCCGAATCCCGGTATCTGTCCGAAACTGTGGAGACTTCTTCGTTTACCTGCTCCAGCCCACACAGGGATGCATGGGATACTGTGCAGAGGGTATGTCGAATCAGAGAGACACTATTTATAATCATCCTATCTAACAGTTTGATATTGTTTGAGGATATAAGAGAAGCATCATAAGTTCATATATCTTATCAGCATGCAAAGATAGAGAGCAGTACAGTTAGAGTCATCTTTATAAGATGTCAAAGTGAGGATAAAGCTCAGTTTGCTCCAAAAAATCTCATCCCAAGTTGGAAGATGATTCAGTTTTTGGAGTTTTGGAGCAGTCGTTTATCACAGCTGAGACATGCTGCCCTGCTGACGGGACACACTGACCAGAGCCAAGTCTGCCAGGTCCATTACTCTCTATATTAGAGCTCTTCAGAGTGTAGTATATTCGTTATAGCATGGCCATGCACAACAGCAAGTATAGCTCTGTTGCCAACTTGTCATCTGTTTTTTTTGCAAGTTTTTTTCGAGCCTGCAGGATTTTTTTGTTGGGTTTGTTTGTTGTGTTGAATCATGATACAGGCCACAGCAGAAATGGTTGCAAAAGTGATATGGCAGCTTGGTAAACCTCTCACACTGATTTAGAAACATAGAATTAAAGCTAATTTCAATATGACCATCTAGCATCGCTGTTTATAACCAGTTTAAAATGTAACTATTAGCCTGCTGCCCAAGACGTTTGAGATGGTTCACTCCTGCTTCATGCTTTGTATCAGTCTGCAGTTTATCACGCCGATTCTAAATGTGCATAAAAGTCTTGAAAAGAAGAAAACCGCAGCATCTGATAGGTAATGATAAAGTCATCTTAATTACACCTAACAAGGGTTTCACAAAGGTATATGACAACCAGCTAAAATGAATCAAACACAGAGGACTCTAGAACTAAAATGAGTAAATTGAAGTTAAAACTAATCAACAAACTAACCGACAGTTATAAAAAAGAAAAATAAACAGACAATGAAGAAACTTAATCAGAGCGATAAATTCTGTTTACATCTCCAAAAAGGATAGTGAAGAGGTAACCCTAATTGAACCCCATGTGAAAATCAGTAATCAATGATCCAATCGGCTTCCTGTTTTTGTATACCAGCGTTTATGAAAATGATCATCTTCTAAAGACTGTTTGATTTGCAGTTTACATGAATTTACACCATAAACATATAAGCTTACATAGACATCCAAAAAACAAAGATATCTATATAAGTAAATAATCAAAATTTAACAATGAAAAAAAAAACAAACAGACCCAAACAACATAGAGACCCTGACACAGACAAAAAACCATCAACCAGGAAACCGAAACACCAATCAACACAACAGACGTTACAAACACAAAAATGACTCAAACAACAAAATAACATAAAGGACCATGAACAAAAACGATGAAGAAGAATCAAAACAACCACAATCACATAACTAAAATAACCCAAATAACATGAAAACCCTCAAATCTTCGAGACAGCCCTTTAATTTGGTTACCTGGTTTGTTTCTTCTGGCTTCATAGATCAGTAGAACTGGGTGTCATCTGCATAACTGTGAAAATTAATTGAGTATTTCCTCATAATTTTACCCAGAGGAAGCTTAAACAAAGTAAAAAGAATCGGTCCAAGCACTGACCCTTGTGGGACCCCGTAGCAGACATTGGTGTGTGCAGAGGATTTATCAATAACATGGACAAACTGAGATCGATCCGATAGATTTAAACCAGGATAGAGCGGGTTCCGAGCATCAACTTTTGCATGGCAGTTGTTGTTTTTTACGTGTGTCACATTAAAAGGTTAGTTTGCACCATATAACCATGTTGGATAATCTGTTATGTTCAATGTGGATTCATAATTTGCTGTTTTTCCACTCTCCTGTCTACATAACAGAGATGTCAGACGCAGTGCCCACGTCGCCGCTGACCTGTGGCCCTGATGAGGTTGACGTGGATGGAACATGTAAAAGTGAGTTTCCTGCTGCTGTGTTTATGGCCTGCGCTTGTCTCCTCATGTTAGGTCAAACACCAAAACAATCAGGAGGTCAGGGAGTTGCCATGCGGTCAGGAATGCACCGTCGGCCCCCTCACCGTTCCTCTTAATGAGCTGAGCATGTGTCCCCGGCGTCCGCTGGGCCGCGTCTCCGTGGCAACGGCCCTCAGCAAGGTCGTGAATTACACCAAGGCAGGTTTCAGGAAGCATGCAGAGGAGGAAAGGAAGAAAAGAGTGAGGAGGGATGATTAATTGGATTAATTAGAAAAAGAAGTATTATGGAACGAAGTCATTAACTTCTGTAATGTAATAGACTCCATGACTCACTTTTCTTCATTTGGATTCAGAGAGAAGACCTCGCTGAATATTTTACAGAGTGTTTTGTTTTGTTGATGACTCAAAGACATCCATTTTACTGAAATCTAAGCTCTAAAGTAGCCGTGAAAACTATGAAACTCTCTCCCTCTCTCCTGTCAGCAAAGCAGCCTCCCACTCCCTCCGTACCGGTGATCCTCTCAGAGGTAACCGGAAACATGGTCTACCTGAAGTGCAGCTTTGACGGCAGCTTTAACAGCTCTCTGGGTTACGTGGTGGTCTGGTCCCGTCTCTCACCTGAGGGCCGGAGGGAGGAGCTCAAACAGGAAACCACAATCCAGACCGCCGACTTCATCGAGCTGGACGGCTTCAACCTCCGTCTGGGTGACAAGGTCGGACGCTGCGTTCATCATTCAGCGTTTAAGTGCAAAATAATGTTGGACCTGTGTATGACCTGTTCTTCCTAACTTTGAAACCAGTGTCAAAGTTAAAGTGTTCAAGAAGGTGTCATTTCTTTTTCTCTCTCCCTCTCTCAGATTTACTGCTCCTGCTCCAGTTTCTTCTTAGACTCCCCTGATGTCCACAGTGCTTTGGTGGAAAGTCAGGAATTCTTTGCTGGGATAAGGGTAAATCACAGCAATTGGAGTTTGTAATTTGGAGTCTATTTGAATCAAAGATATGACCTTTACTGGTGCAGCAATCTTATTGTTGCAGATCAATTTAACGCAGTATGAAACAGACTAAACATTACACGATTACTTGTTTATATTCACAAGACAAAGCTCGTTTAAACCTCTCGATCACAAGTTTCATACGTTGCTGTTAATGTTTCTTTATATACAGTCTGACCAGATTAATTGTGTTGTTTTGTTTCCGTAAGATAAGACCAGAGGTGAACAGTGTGTCTGAGGATGGGAGGTTATATGAGTTGGTGGTTGAGAGCACAGTTCCTGTCCCGTGTCCCGGAGATTCCTCCTCCTCTACAGAGCGGTGCTCTCTGTCTCTAAAGCTCAGCACCAGCAGTCAAGGTGAGAACAGACAGAAACACGATGGGAATTCATTTTTCACCAAAACTCGTGAGCTGCTTGCTCTGTCTCTGTAACAAAGAGAACAGGCCAGATCTGCTCTTTGGTTTTATTTGGCTCTATCTGAGCAAAAGCTGATTAATCAACATTCATGTGGCAGAAATACTATTTGTGGGGTAAAATGACTCAAGTTTTTGGCAGATTTTACAGCTTTTTATATTATTTATATCTAATTTTTGTGTCAGACATACAACACATAACTAGTGTGATTAATATATCCTACATTACATGGTGAAGCACTGTTATTCAAAACAACGTAAAGGCAGCTGCATCAGGTCTAAATCTGTAATTTTAGAAGTATCCGTGATGTTTTCAGTAGCAGATTACATTTAATCTGACCAAAGTACTCTTATTTGTATAATTCACAAACATTCAAATACAGTTCTTTGTCTGATCATCATGTAAACTAAAATTTCAGTCTTTGTCGTGCTACAGATGACAGCGTCTTGGGTTCAGATCTGTCTCTGTCCTCCTGTGTGGTGGACCTGATCCCGGGCTCCTGCAGGGATGGGATCTGCAGCCGAGCTTTGATCCACTTCAGCCCCGTCACTGACTTTGTCAAAGACGGCAACAGGACAACTCAGATATCTGCTAAACCCATCACCACCGAGAACTTTCTCTGGAACGGATACTCACCTGAGCCGGCGGAGGTACACAGATAAATATTTATTTATTTCTATGTACATTTTGGTTTTAATTTTGATTCATGCTCAGTTTGGATGTTACCTTATTGTTATATTTAGATTTGCATTAGAGAGGCATCTTCATCTTTCTGTACTGTGAGTTTGTATTCACAGGAATCTTAATTTTGGTCTCTCACAGATAACAGTGAAGGACGTCCCTTCAGCTTACTGCTACGCCTTCACTGATCCACACATGATCACTTTTGATGGCAGGTACTTCCCTCTCTGCTTTGTCAGTCTGAAAACACGCTTTCTATGAACAACTAACTTTACTACCTGAAACTGTTGATAAAACAAAAAAAAAAAAAGAAAAAACTTTTGTCGGTTTTTCTCTTGCAAGATCATTTCCGCAGATTATTAAAGATCCCGGAAAGTCTTTAAATAGAGTTTTTAGAGTTTAAGGTGATAAAAAAAGTCCTGTGATATAAAGAAATATCCTCTAAGCTTTACTCCTGTCTTTGTTTATGAACAGACGCTTCGAAAACTATCAAATCGGCACTTTTGTCCTCTACAAGAGCAGCTTGTGGTCCTTCGAGGTTCATGTTCGTCAATGGGAGTGCGGCAGTGTCGTGCACAGCGCTTCCTGCGTGTGCGGATTCGTGGTGCGGGACGGCGGGGATGTTGTTGCTTTTGACATGTGCAGCGGAGAAATGGGGGAAACCAAACCTCACCTTTCTGTGAAGAACAGAGACCTGAGCAAGAGCGGCGTTCGCATCACAGAGTCCTACCAGGGACGCAAAGTCACGGTAAGTGAGGAGGAGTTGGAGATATACACTTGAAAAGATGCTGTAGTTCTTCACCAGAGCTCACTTTAATCTTTTATTAATGGAGCTACCTGGGAGCTGATGAAGATATCCTGATCTCCTGTGAATGTTTCACAGATGACCTTCTCATCAGGAGCGTTTGTTCGCGCAGACGTGTCTAATTGGGGGATGAGTCTGACCCTGAGAGCTCCCGGTTCAGATCAGGGTCACACCGAGGGACTGTGCGGTTCTTACGATGGAAAGCCAGACAACGACTTCCAAACAGCAGGGGGCGCCATACTTGAGGATCCGTACGCTTTTGTGTCTGCGTGGAGGTCAGTGCTGTTTTTCTGGACAGAAATTAATATAACAAAGCATCGAAGACAAAAAATAATCATCCTCTGTAGTATTAAAGTCTTTTCAATAACAGAAGACCTAAATACAATGTAGAAGAAATCAAGAACATCAGATGACGGACAGATGGTTCAAAGCCTGTGAGGGAGAGGCTAAAGAGAGTAATAAAAATTAGGGAGGCTAGCTAACATAAGATAGTGTCATGGAGTCCTCAGTCTGTAGAGAACTTCAATATTTAACCCACTTGGCTCAGAGTTTCAGAATTTAACAAACAACAAGCACTAATTAGACTGACAGTCTCCTCGGTTTTGGGAAAGGCTGCAGGGAGCTGTGTTTCACCCTGACAATGTCATAACCAAGACTGTCTGTAAATATAACTATAAACTGAACTGATTTGTCCACCTCATCTATTCCCATGGATTAAAGTTGGCATTTATCAAGTTATGTAAGAAAGATAAGCAGGAAATTCCAGGGGTGAAAATTCAAGCCCAAGCTGGAAGTTTTACAATCTGCAGTTCCTTCAATGACCACTTGGAGCTGCCTTCAAAGAGAGTCAACCATCCTCCTCAACTTGACAGTAGATATTCGGGTTTACTACCTGATTAAAGCCTGGTAATGGTCGTTATTGTCTTAAATCTGAAGTGGGAAAGCAGGGTTTTAGATTTTTGCTGATTTCTGATATGCCAGTATCTTTTATCTCACTCAGGCGGACTGATGTTGATGACAAAATAATTTTTTCCCCATGAAAACAACTGCTCACTTTTTAACTAGAAGCTTTAAGTGTTTAATTTGCATTTTTCCACCACTCCTCGTCAGAGAATCAAGTACAGGAGCCAAGGATCCCCCATCAGGTCTGCAAAGAGCCTGCTGTCAAACACTGTTGCCTCCTCACTGACATCTTCTCCTCTGCTCTCTCAGACTCCCTCCAGGCAGCAGCCTGTTTGACACCGTGCCATCCCACCTGAGCCCCCTGAGCCCCCACAGGTTCTGTAACTGTCAGGCAGAGCCCCGCCCCGCATCCCCCAGAGCCCGATCTCAACAAGCCACCTCCTCAGACTCCACCTGCTCTCATCGCGGCAACGTGCGTCTCTCTGGTGTCATCCCCACTCTGGATGTCACGGCTGAGTACATCAGCTCAGTGGAACTACTCACAGGTGATGGAAATGACAGACAGCTGCTGCCTCCGGGTCAAACCAGCCAAAACACCCGGAGTGGAGGTCGTGATGCTCGGTCCAGGGACAGAGCTTCACTGTCAGCTCACACTCAGCGGCGTAGAGGCAGACGGCAGACCCATCGTTTTGTTTCTAACTCTCCACACCAAAGCCTCAGCCAGTCTGATCTAGAAGGATTCACCTACTTTTTCCCAGAGGACCATGAAGCTGCAGTTCAGCCTGACTCCTCACTAACCTGGCCCACACCATCCGGCCTGACCGCCCAGCAGGCCAAGTCTCAGTGCCAGCAGGCCGTGGCGAACTCAAGCATAGCGACAGGCTGCAGGCGTCTATTAGAAGAGTCGGTGATCAGCAGCGCTGTCAGCATGTGTGTTACCGACCTGCAGCTGAAGGATGAGCTGTCATGGCTGAACGCAACATTACCTCTGCTAGAGAACGAGTGTGAGAGGAGGCTGGTGGAGGAGAGGAGGAGAGAGGAAGAGTTCCAGGATGTCCTCTCTGTCCTCAAGTGTCCAAACTTATGCAACTGGAACGGCCAGTGCTCCGAGTGGGGATGTGTCTGCTTCCCCGGGTTTGGCTCGTATGACTGCAGCGTGCTGGCTGGTAACCCATGAAACATACACTCACACAGAAACACAGTCCATTAGAAGTAATTGTTTAAACTGATGAATAACGACAACAGCGACATTTGACTATTAAAAGTCAGCAGAATAAGTTTAAAGTATTTTTCGGACGATAAGGCGCACTTAAAATCTTTACATCGTCTCAAAAATTGACAGTGTGCCTTATAATCCAGCGCTCCTTATGTATGATTACATGATTTTACGTGTTACAATGCGCTCAAAAATCTGTCGAAATGTGTAACTAAGACTTTGGTAAGCAATGAAGCCGCTCCACTCAACGGATATTAGGGAGGCTAGCATTACGGTACGCTGTGTCACTACCTGATCGGCCCCGTAACAGGATCCCTGAGCAGTCTACAAGACTGCCTGACTGTGATGTCTAAACCAGAAGTGCATTCATGTAAGGCAGCCTGGGCCCGGAGTACGTGATAGCAACAATAAACCCATCGATGCTTAATGCGCCTTACAATCCGATGTGCCTTATGTGTGAACAAAGACACATTAAATCACAGTGCGCTGTATGATCCGGTGCGCCTTACTGTCTGAATAATACAGTGATATTACAGTAATCCCTTAAGATAAACAATAACCGTTTTGTCCACAGGGGGCGCCAAAATTGACATAAACCAAAAGTTCCTCACAGGAGCTCTAAACATGTAGAGTTCATAACAAAAAACAACGATAACAAACTTAGGTCTAGAACTCATATAGAGGATATCCTTAACTCAAAGACATTAGATTAAATGAAGCCGGATGTAAACTGAACTTTCAGCTTTCTTTTGGCGTAGGAAAAAATACTAGATGTTCACTTTGTCCACTACTTTTTTCCCCTTGATTGTCAACATGTCAGCAAGTTATTTGATCCCTCTGTGGGCAAAAACTCATGGAGGAAAGTATGTTACAAAGCTTAAACATTAGTATGGAAAGTCTATTTCATGAAAACACTGCCAAAGAAACTCCTACGAAGCTCAACTGTGGCGTCAATCAACATTCTGTACTTTGTGTACCGGGTCACATCGGAGTCAGAAGTGTAACTTTAAAAAACGACCTTTTATGACAAATGTTAATACAGTTGTTAACGAAAAAGTGATTAAATGGAAGATAATGGAGTCACTTAACTTGATTGCACATTTTCTAAGACTTATTAGACTTAATGACCTGGTTCAGTCAGGTTCAATTCCTGTTTTTGATTAACTTTTGCTCTAAAATGAATTTAAAATTTTACTCATGTCTGTTAACAACCCTGAATTCATGTGAAATCTTCTCACTGGAGTGTTGTTGTAGCTAACCGAAGAAACAGACGCCGTATTTGAGATGTTTTTCTGTCAGTTATTAACTTTAATTTTAGTTATTTACTTAAATATGTCATCCGGCTGAAGAACTTTATCACAAAACAAACATCCAGCTGAGTCTCAGGGGCCACTGGCCAGACAGTATCGACAGCTGATAGTACATTCACAATTCCAAACCCAGCCAAAGCTATTTAAAACATTAAATTGACCTACATCCTCACTTAATATGTCAGTGATATATTTGGCAGTCATCTGCACACATCTGTCTTTCCACATGTCTCCGTGTTTGATGACAGTGTTAAGACCAGGCTGTAAATTCTGAGGTCTAACAGTCTGTCGGTCTGCTCTTCTTCTCCGTGGTTGGTGTCATGAAGACCAGATCCCAGAGATCACCGAGCTGGAGAAAGAGGGTCTGTGTGACATCCGGCAGGGAGACTGCTCCACCGTCCAGGTGTACGGTCAGGGCTTCAAGGAGTCTTACGAGCTCAAGTGTGAGTTTGTTAAAGAAAAGGTACTTGGTTTCTGTTTCTTGGTCTCTGACAGCTGAAATATTGAATTACATTGAATAGAAAACTGTTTATTTTTAAGTCGTTGAATCGTCACTGTACTTAAGAACCAGAGTGTCAAATGTCGTCAAAAATAAAAGGGGACGCTGCTGACTGAGTGGTCTACAAGCGCGCCCCTTAGGCAAAGGTCATGTCTCGAGTGGCCAGCCTGACCTGTGGCTCCTTTCCACACGTCATCCCCTGCCTGTTCACCCTGATTCTTACTCCATCTGTCGTTCTATCGTGTCAAAAATTGTCAAAAATTGATCATGTAAAGTCAAAGTGATGGGAGCTGAAATGTCAAAGTCCTGTCGATGCAGAAACTCTCTTTCCTGTCCTTCACTGTCCCACGTTAACCTTTTCTTTGTACCTCCCCACCCTCTCTTACTCCCCCCTCTCCTCCCTGTGTGTCTCTTGTCAAGTTCGTGGATGGAAATTGGGTTTTGGATGAGCCCCAGTTTGTCCGGGCCGTCTTTCTGGATGTGACAGCTCTGGAGTGTCAGCTCCCCCTGCAGGACAACCCGGCTTTTGCAGACCTGGACCTGGAAAGTGTGAAAAACAGACCCCTGGCCCGCTGGCAGATCAAAGTCAGTTGTGTTGCTGACTGTGTCTTTACCGCAGAATGTAACAAATCGCTAATATTTGTCCTCCTCCATTACTTCTCATTGTCCTCTCTGAGGCGTCTGTCTCCCAGCCTGTAGTCTTTGTGTCCTTTTTTTGTTTTCGTACGAGATCAGACGATAAACTATATATAATAATAGACAGATGGGAAAGTTGCTTTCAACCTTAGCTGCAGTTGAGGACAGAGTCCACAGCTGGAGGATTTCACGAGAACTCCCTCGTGTCAAACTGTAGAAACTTTGTGTTTGAACTTGCTGTTGTGTGTCTTAATTCTGTTGTTGAATTTAAGGCAAATTAATAAAAACTAACTCTTTTAGTTCATCCAGTTCACTCCACTGCGTGTCACTAAGTTTCTTCTGATTGCAGGTTTCCAACGACGGTTACAGCTACAGTAACGCCAAGATTCTGACTCTGTACGACGGAGCCTGCCAGATCTGCAGCCTCAACACTGAAGTGCTCTGCACCCTCAGGGTGAGACGGCTTTCTTTACAAGGATAGGAGTTTAAGACGTGGATCAAAAAGATGAAATATCTCTTAAGTCAGATTTTCCTCTCTGCAGGCTGCTTCCCTTCATCTTTCTAAACATCAAATCTTCATCCATTCATTCAGTCCCAAACTCTTCAGCGGGGTTTAGAGCTCTGTTTCCTTCGACACTCTTTGAAATGATGTGTAAAATATGAAAAAGTAGATAAAACCTCCAGTTTCCAAACTCAGGACTCTACTTTGTTCGAGCCGAAGGGTGGCACCTGCTGTTTAAAATCACAAACAGCATTTATTTGACAGGAATTAAATTCATGGTCATTATCCAGCAGATAAGAATTAACAAGCAACCGAAGTCAGCCAGTAAATTAAAATATTAAAAAAGAGCTGAAATCCATCTCTAGAACATTTTTAATCAATCAGAGGTGATATTTTTGCTTTTTCAGACTTTAGGACATAATGACAGACATTTAGAGAGTTTGCATGTGTCCTTAAATGCCATTGAATTTGATCTTTGTTCAGTTTTTACGTCCCTAAAGCAGTAATGCTCTGTATAATGCAGTAATAGTAAATTATAAGTACTATTTTTGATACAAGTGTGCATGCAGAGATGTTTCAGTTAAGGCTCACAGAGTGTTCGTTCCTTCGTCATACAGTCACTCCGTTTACTGCTGGATCAACATGCAGGAAATTCATTGAAGTATCCTGAACTTGTTTGTTGTCTTTTCTTCTCAGGAGAAAACCTGCAACATCGACGGCTTGTGTTACAGCGAGGGGGAGTCCAATCCCAGCAGCCCTTGCCTCACATGTCGCCCAGACTCGTCCAAACACACATGGTCCATAGCAGAGAGTACGTACTTTGTTTCTCATCTGGTTTGTCTCATGATCGCAGAAACAGAAGAAGTGGAGACTGAACTTTTCACAGAGTGAGATGGAAAGAGTTTTCCATTTGTCACATCCTCGGTACAGCCGAGGTCGGATAGCCATCGCTGAGGTCCCTTTTTTCTCTGGCTCTGGGCTGTTGTGATAATTTGTCAGCAGCTCTGTGCAGATTGGAGTCATTGAAGTTGTTCAATCCTGAGGCGCTGATATGAGGACGGCTTACCTCATTGTTACACTTTCAGACCAACTTTAACTTCTGCAACTTAAAGTAGGTCAAACGGTGCTCTGCTCGCGTTAGAAGAAACGACAGAAAAATGTGTCATTGACTTTATTGAGGTTGAAAAATTTATCTCAACGATAACGGCGGGCCAAGGTGTGAATTATTGATAAGGCTGCTCACAAATCAAGTCTTTTTTTACGCATTTAGACAATAAATTATTAAATCTTACAGACTAGTGCTGCTTTGTTTTTGAAGCAAAGTTACAAAATTTGATCAAATCTGCTATTTCTCAAAGCTTGATTAAAACTGAGCATTTTTATATCGTCACCTTAAAGCCACCAGGTAGGAAAGAGAGAGATATATATGAGTATTATAAGGAAGCAGGAGGTTCTCATGAAACTGACAGCTGTATTAGTGCAGCGTCAGCAGGAGTGGGAGTAATTCAGTGGATCTTCGTGGTGAGGAGCGAGCTCAGCCTGATGACAAAGCTTTTGGTTCATCGTTTGATCTGTGTCCCGACCCTTACCTGTGATCAGGAGCTTTTTGAGATCCCACATACAAGCAGCCAGAATTAGTTAACTCAAAAGGGTGGTGAGGATCAGCTTCACAGATCGGGTCAGGAGCGTGGACTTCTGATTAGAGCCGCTGCTGCTGCTTGGCATTTAGAGGAATCGCTCGAGGTAGTGCCAGAATTTGATAAGGATGCTTCCTGGACGCCTCTCAATGGGTGGAGGCCTCATGGTAGAGCCAGAGCCTGCTGAAGGGCCGGGTTTATATCCCACCTGGCCAGGTAAGGTCCCAGAATCCCTCAGGAGGAGCTGGAAAATATCACAGAGGAGTTAGATGTTTAGGTTGACCTGCTTCCTCTGAGATCAAACCATGAATAATCGGGAGAAAATCAATAAATGGACGGAGGAGGAGACTTTTTGTTAAAAACACAACATTCACGTGGACAGGACAGAGATCAGAGGTTCTCTTTCTGAAACCTGAAAATTCTTCTTGATAAATTTAACATTCATCCTCATTTTTACAGTTTCCACCACATGATTGTTAAAGGGAGTTTGTCTTTTTTGAGTGGGGTTGTTTGAGGTACTTATGAGTGGCCAACCCATCGAGGATGAGGGAACAAGGTGTAAAATATCTGTGAATATAAACAATATAAACTGACTCAATAACTCAGCTATAGGTTTGCTGAGATATTTATTTTCTCCTTCTTGTTTCCCTGCAGAGAACGAGCCTCCAGCACTCCAGTCTTTACCGTTCAGTCTCCAGTCATTCGAAGGGGAGAATTTCATCTACCAGCTACAAGCTGAAGACCCTGAGGGCTCCGCTGTGCTCTTCACCCTGGAGTCAGGTCCTGAAGGTGCATCTCTGTCCCCGGCTGGTCTGCTGATGTGGAAGGCCACAGCTGAGACTTCAGACACACACATTTTCCAGTTTTCTGTGGCGGACGACTGTAACGCCGAGACCAGATCTGGAATACAGGTAATGATGGTTTTCAGATTCAAATGATCAAAGTAAATCTATAATTTACATGATGTGTTTATTTATGTGTGAGGTGAAGAGGAGTACAGGTTTGTTTGAGTCAACAAAAACAAAGGATTTATGTTTTAAATAGAGCACACAGATGTTAACACAGACTTCTGAATATTATATCATATTTCTATAACGTCTGTTCTGCTGAATACAACACCGTCAGAGGACAGGAGCGAACATTTTTAACTGCAGCTTTAAATCATGACTATCTTTTTGAATATTATCACTCCTGTGGTCCAGAAACTGCCTCATCTTTTGACTTTGTCGGAACTGTACTGATCTTTTTATCCACTAGAGGGAGCTAGTGATACATAGTTTTCTGCTTACAGCCAGTGTTGGAGGTTTCATCTTTACTATGTGTCTGAATTAAAGTAGGAGCAAATGTTTATTGATACCCCGAGCAGAGTTATCACAAACTACAGGATGATTTAATTTAATAGTTTTTTGTTGATGGATATAAAAAGGTGCCGGAAAATCACAGAACTCTTCACGTATCAGATGCTTTAAATTTAAGCTACAGATAGATTGACATGCATCATCATGCACAATTATTGGAGCACAAAAATGTTGTTTTACTTAACAGGTTGTGTATCGACTGCATTTTAATCACATGCACTGATACGCCACATTCTGTTGTAAAGTTTTATGTTTGTTGTTTTAGACCAGATGATGAATCAGACTAAATCTGTGCAAATGAAGCAGCATCTTCCTCCTTCTTCTTCACCAGGTGTCGGTGCGCTCCTGTGAATGTCTGAATGGAGCTTCCTGTGTGACCAACGTCAACCTTCCTGCCGGCAGCGGAGAGTACCGCTGCGTGTGTGTGGAGGGATTTAGAGGTGAAAGGTGTGAGGTGGACATCGATGACTGTAAACCAAACCCCTGCAGGCTGGGCCGCTGTATCGACGGACCAAACTCCTTCTTCTGTATCTGCCCTCCTGGAATGACAGGTATCAACCCGCAGATCTCCATCTCTGTAAAAGTGCAGACTGCAAAAGTTACACAAGTTTGATGTTGTTTACTTATATTTTGGGGGGCTACTTAAGGAGATAAGAAAATGTCACAAAATGTAAGCAACTGGGAATTTACTCAGCCTGTTTTGATCAGCAACTCTGAGTCTAGAGATCATTAAAAGTTTAATTTTGAAGTTTGTTTTTTTTATTATTGTGACTGATTCCCGATCCTGTCAGGCCGCACATGCAGAGAGGACATAGATGAGTGTGTCTCTCAGCCTTGTTCACCTGGAGTGATCTGTAACAACACCCTGGGCTCCTTCGTCTGCGGACTCTGCCCTCAAGGATACAGCGGTGATGGGAGAACCTGCACACGTAAGTAACATCACATGACACTTCTTGTGCTATTTGTTATTAATATGAAGAAAGATAATCAATCCATCCTATCCTTTCAATAACAACTATTTTTGTTTTACCATTTTGTTTCCAAGGTAACCAGGACTCTCCAGTCATAGCAGCAAACACGCCTCTAAAACTCCCCCAGGTTCCTCAGAGGTCCAAACCCTCAGGCCCTCCACCGTGCTCCAGGCGGCCGTGTTACCCCGGGGTTCAGTGCTTCGAGAGCACCCATGTCTCAGCTGGGTTTGTCTGCGGTCCCTGTCCCCCTGGTCTCCATGGAAATGGACGGATATGCTCAGCGACAGGTGGGACAGAAGCGTGACCTTCAATAGAGGTCTCCTGAATGTAAATGTTGTGGAAATCCTGCTTTTGATTTGGGAATGCTAGTGTTGGTTCGAAATGATCCGTCAAGATTGATCGTGAATGATTGAAATCTGTCAGCTGTTCAGATATGTATGGGTTTTATACCATTATACTATTATAATGCAACAGTTACTTCCAGTTTTTTTTACATTCAGAGCAGCATTTCTGTCTGAACATGTGCGCATACCAGTGTTTATATTATACCATAATGATTGAAACTACAGGAAGCGTGCACGTCTGGCACTCTGGAACTAATCTGTGTCCATTCTAGTCAAAACTTGTGTTTACAATAATCAAAATTAACGGACAATCAAACCTACATCTGCATGTTTATAATTATCTTCTCTCACAGCTGCAAGAAATCTAACTTCATGACTACAGCAAGTTATCCATACTCAAAATCGTCTCCCTGCAGGGGTCACGCTGAACAGAGCAGACCGACCTGAGTAAGAAGTTAAACATGGAATAGCTTATATAATGGGGTCCCAACTGTAACACTGATCATACAGACGAGGAAAACTCATTGACGGTTTTGTACACAGTGATACAGTCTGAAAGTTCCTCACAGGCGCTTGAAATGATTCACTGCAAACCCAAAGATGTATTTGGTAGTTTTTAAGTCATGTCCTCTAACTTCCAGTATTTTACAGGTCAGGCCCCCAGTGGAGCAGACGGTCAGAGTCCCTTCCTCAGATCAAATTCCAGCAGAGATACAACTCCCACCTCCTCCTCTTCTACTTCCTCCTCTTCATTATTTCCCACCTCATCAAGGAGGCCCCCTGACAGGAGGACAAGACCTGAAACCACCATCTCCAGTATCAGGAGGACATCCTACGGCGACAGACGGACCACGGCAACGCCGCAGAATCAAACTGCAACCAGGGTGTTTGTCCCCACTGTCCACAGAGGTCAGCCCACCGGGGTGGAGCTGAGCCCTGATCTCACCACAGGGGTCAGATGGGGGTCTACGTCTCATTATGTGACCTGTGCTGACGCTCCCTGCTTCCCTGGTGTTCCCTGTGAGCCGACCGTGACAGGGTCCTTCAGGTGTGGACGCTGCCCGTATGGATACACTGGAGATGGAGTCATCTGTAAAGGTCTGTTCTGAACCAGGGGGTCTTTGCTGCTGCTCTCCCTGCCTCGACTGAACAATTATTTTTGTCGTCCTCCCATAAAAGTTTAACTCTCTCATGATCTCTTTCCAGCTGTCTGCAGGTATCAGTGTGGGAGGAACATGGAGTGCTCTCTGCCGAATACCTGCACCTGTAAGGAGGGCTACACCGGATACAACTGTCACATCGGTGAGAAGGAGAGACTTGTGGTCTGATTAACTTTTGGAGTCCTCTGCATTTATTTAGTCTCACTTTTCTCCTCTCCCTCTCAGCTGTGTGTCGACCTGACTGTAAGAACCAGGGAAAGTGTGTGAAACCAAACGTGTGTGAATGTCCTGTGGGCTACAGTGGACCCACCTGTGAGGAAGGTAACCTAAAGTAATAACCACAAACACACACTGAGGAGACAATATTGATGAGCGTTTTAAAACTTTTCCAACCTTTTGTCGATCTGTAGCAAACTGTGAGCCACCTTGTCAACACGGAGGCACCTGTCTGGCCAGGAACTTGTGTACCTGTCCCTACGGCTACGTGGGACCCAGATGTGAAATAAGTAGGTTAAGATTTCACATTTATATCATGTATATAAACACAAAGATGGGGAAAGATTTCTTGTTGTATTGAATGGAGCATGTTAGATCTAAATATAGGGCATACGACAGTGTTAAAGGGAAGGTTAATTTTATGCAAGAGTTTGAAATATAAAAGATCAGCACTCAAATTAGATCTAAGTTACTCTAATGTTTGTATGATATGATCAGCAGCCAACTAAGTAAAGTAGGCATCTCCCAAAATCAGGGGTAGACTTGTTGCAGAATTTAAGTCTCTTTGCTGATGAAGTTTTGCTCGCAGTAGCTGACACTTTGCGTATAATTTTGTATGTGTTTATTTCTTTCAGTGGTGTGTAACAGGCACTGTGAAAATGGAGGTGAATGTGTTTCTCCTGATGTCTGCAAATGCAAACCTGGCTGGTACGGACCGACATGTAACTCAGGTACCCGATACAGAGCCTTTCTCTGCAAAGAGTCAAAATAGAAACACTATGTTTGTTTGGTATCTGAATTCTGCTTCTTGTGTCTTCACAGCTCTGTGTAACCCGTTCTGTCTGAATGGAGGATCCTGCATCAGACCCGACATCTGTTCCTGTCCCGGCGGCTTTTACGGCTCTCAGTGTCAAATCGGTAAATGCTCAGTCTGTGCGACGAAACAGATGAACTATATAGACAACTGAAAGCTTTATCCATCCTTTCTGCTCTGAGAGTTTGAGTTTACTTCATGACCCTCTTCAGCACACTGTCAGCTATGGCTTTAGTGTGGCATTTGTATGCTGATAGTGGCTTTAAGAAACTCTGGTTTCTTAAAATGGAAAATCCTGAACTGAATACGAAATGGATTGTCCTTACGTAGTGCCTTAGCCTTCTAACTACTCAAAGTGCAAATTAGGGAAGCTAAATTAAAGTGTATTTATCTTTTTAAATCAAATGATCTGTGCTGAATAATATTAATGATGATTATAATAGTAAAGAACATGAATTCTAGATTTAGATTAGATATATGCTCGTCTTTGCAGGGTAGTGTGTATAAAAGAGGATTAGGGCCACAAGAAAGAAAAAAATAAAAACAGGAGGGAGATTTTTTTTATTTCCATTTCGAGATTAAAGTTGAAATTTCGGGATTAAAAATCGAAATTAAAAAGTGGAAATTTCGACTTTATTCATGTCGACTTTAAACTCGAAATTTTGACTTTAATCTCAAAATTTTAATTTTTTACCTCGAGATTTCGACATTATTCTCGACATTTTATAATCTCGAAATTTCGACTTTAATCTCGAATGTGGCTCTAATCCTCTTCCGTAAATACGGCAAAAGGAACATGTAGCTCAAAATTAAAACAAGCACATTAAACACACATTAAATCACAATAAAAACACAGGAATATCAAAAACATAAACACTCTCAGACGACGTGAGCATGGGTTACAGTCCTGAAAGTTTATTTTCAGCCATAATTTTATCTCCTGTGATTCCTGCAGGGAGATTTATCCTCACAAGTAGGTCAGAGTTCATCTTCAGGTGCACACTCTCCTATGAGAGGCTGTCTTCCTCTTTAGCTATACAACAGTTAACCATGCAGGAGACATATGTGGGTCAGTCAGTGTTCATATTTCTGTTGGCCATGTGCACAATAAACTCCAGCTAATCCTGATGTGTTTTTCAGCTGTGTGCAACCCTCCCTGTAAGAACGGAGGTCAGTGTATGAGGAACAACGTGTGCTCCTGCCCTGAAGGCTACACAGGAAAACGCTGTCAAAAGAGTGAGTACAGTCTCTGCCTGTGAACTTAGGCGCAGTCTCATTTTGTAGTGATGATAAGTACCTCTAATGAAAGTAACCTAATGTGTAAACAAATGTGTTTCAGGTGTATGTGAGCCAATGTGCATGAATAAAGGCAAGTGTGTGGGACCGAACACATGCTCCTGTGCGTCAGGGTGGAGAGGCAGCAGGTGTAACATACGTGAGTGACTCCATGTTTGACTTTTACAGCCCAAAAACATCACAGGTAATAAAAAAACAGGCTTAAGTATCCATAAACAGTTATTATTTTTCAGCAATGTGCAAAAACAACAGGATAAAAGCCTCCAAACTGATACGTTCTCCTCGTTTTCTAATGTTGCTTTAATGTAAACATGAATTTTCTGGTACATTTATGTAAAAATCCCATTCCTCTACAACAATAAAAAGCATCTCTCATTGTGAAATATATGAAACAAAAAAGGTTTAAATGCCCAGAAGTGAGAATGACCCTCCTATCTCCAGTCTAGCTGCACAGGTCGAGACTGAGGGGATACTCTGAGTGTCTGTAGAAGCATGGCTCACATTTTATCAGGGTGTTAACCAGCTTTGACCCGAGGATTATACAGATGGGGCTATGACAAGGTTTTACTATCACTTTCTGGTATCCTAGAGTGCTAAAAAAAGGGAGAAATAAACAAAAACCTTGGCAGAGCACCATCATCTTCATCACAGAGGGGCAGAGGCTTGTTAACCTGGAGGAGGCCACCAGAGAGCGGGAAATGAAAGTAGACCTCAGGGTGAAACTCCACTTCCTAGAGGAGCTACTGTCCATAACTCCAAGATCAGATTATCATCCTGTGGTCTGAAAGAAAGCAATCCCAGTGGAACTAGAGGGCTGAGAGGGACCAAACAGAAGGGGAAAAAGACAGCTGGTCCAGGACTGTCAGGAAAGAAAGGATGTGGGAGGTTGAAGATTTCCAGCTCAGTTAGTGTGGAACCTCATGGCTAAAGCTGGAGTGAGGGAGAAAAGAGGTAGACTGTGGTGGGAAGTGGAGGAGACATCAGAAATATGAGGGAGATCCCCCAGATCAAGAACTACAACTGCAGAGGAAATCTCTGTGGAAAAGTATTGATGAATGAATCGCTGTTACATCTGTTTTTCACCGTGTAAAGAATATTCAAACTAACCCTTCAGTAAAGTAATGCATGGTGAGGTTGAAGTTAACATGCAGCTGCCTCAGGAGCTCAAGTTCAGGCAAAACATCTCAGTGCCCACCAACTTATGTCCCTTTAAAGGAAGAATACAGATCTATGTTTAACAGCAGCTGCTGAGCTCTGTAAGAAGACAATGTAAGGTTCCCTCTGCTGAGGAATGTATTAACCCTCCTCCTGTGTTAGGGTCTGCACCGACCGTTTTTGATTTTAAATGCTTAAAAGAACCACTTATTTTAGCTTTTGTGCATCAAAACTTTTTGACTTTGACAGGAACCTCTATTTCAACAAAAGAAAAACAAAAAAATTTAATTGACTAAATTGTAAAATGCTCTTAATAAAATTATGGCAATTGTCGTGTTTGGGTCGCTGTTGACCCGGTTCGATCAATAACTAATAATTAGAGCAAAAACTGAAATCATATGTGCACTGTCAGGCACCACACTGACAGTCAGATCCTCTTACAATCATGGGAGATTTAGGAAATTCTCATTTTGCCATGTTTATCCCTGCATAAAAAACGTCGGGCATGTCTAGACATGTGAGATCAGTTCAGTATAGATGTCTGTGTGAGGGGTATACTGACCCAGGTTACCTAGAGATGAGAACCAAATTAGATGATAGAGAAATGTTTTTAGTGTAATTTGCCGCTGATTTAAGACACGGGTCAAAACCGACCCTCAACATAGTGTGTGTGTAGTAAAAGCTAACACAGGAGGAGGGTTAATACATTGAAGTTCATTCCTCCCTCTCTGTTCTCTCTGTAGCTGTCTGTCTGCAAAAGTGTAAAAATGGCGGCGAGTGTTTGGGACCGAACACCTGCCACTGTTCAGCCGGCTGGGAAGGTCTCCAGTGTCAAACACGTGAGTTTATCTGAGAGAAGTAGTAACACTTTTTCTCACTTCAGATTTGTTGTCTGTATAAACACATAAAGACTTGACGTGTTTCATCTGCTTCTCTCCAGCGGTCTGCAAACAGCGGTGTCTGAACGGAGGGAGGTGTGTCCTCCCCGACTACTGTTACTGCCGGAAAGGCTACAAGGGCCTCACCTGTGCAATAAAGGTACGCACTAGAGTCACACCGTATATACTCTATCTATGAAGCAAAAACACGTCTTTATACTTCTTTGTTTCATCTTCACAGGCATCACAGGTATGATGGACAAGAAACGACATACGGGATGAGAGAAGCTAGAAAAATGCACAAGATAAGACGAGAGAGCACCGTAAACTGAGGTGTATGTGTGTGTGTGTTTGAGTGTGTGTATGTGTGTGTGTGATTGTGGATATTGGCTCGTATGAGTGGCTCTGTGCGCAGCGAAGGCCAGCAGAGGGGACATGATGTATTGCACTTGTCTGTTCGTCCCTGTAAATCACTACCTCAAGGCTGAGAGAGACACGCATCTGTTAAACACATCTGCAGTGCTTCTTCCAGAGACTGTCGACAGAGATGTGAGTGTTTGCTGCACACTATTATACAAAGATAAGTCATTGTCCAGTGAATCAGTGATGCTGATGATTCATTAGTAAGCTTTGAGTGTTAGGAAATAATCATAGCCTTGATTATCTTCAACCAAACTGATGTGCACTGTTTGTTTTATACTTATGAGAAAAGTTAATGCAAGTATGAGTATCTAACTTTGCTTTATTTAGATGGTACACATCAGTAACTTGTTTTAGACTGAGGACGCTGGTAAGAGTTTGACGCAATTTATGAAAAGTTGCATTTGTTTGTGTTTTTATCTCTCATGAATATATTGTTTGATTTGGCCTCTTTAAGTTATAAAGTTATCCATTTACACTGATACTAAACGTATGTATTAAAAGTCAACACTAGATTACACTATGGTACAAATTACATGTGATAAAATAAAGAAAAAATGTTATTTTTATGTGTTTGTTTTCTTAAATGAGCTTCCATACTGCACACAATTCTCTTTTATTCACTTTACCTCAAAAATACAGTACATACAGTTTGTTTATACAGTCCAATGAGAAAATCAATTCAGCTTAAAAAAGAATAACAGATCATACAGTAAAACATGTTAAAAAACTACCATTGTAACTGTTCCTCATTGACCTTTGACTCCAGCAGGGTCACACTAGTGGGACTTTTTCCTCTCTTCACAGCGAGGGCCGGAGAAAGGGGGGCGACAGCGGCAAGTTTCTGGAGAAATGCACTTCCCTCCATTCAGGCAAGGTTTAGAGCACACGGCTACAGCGAGACAAAACAGACAAAAGAAACAAAAAAGGTAGTCAGGGTGACAGCTGTAGATCTTAAAACTGGTAATCTAGCAACTGTTTTGTGTGTCCAAGTTTTATCACATCTGGAAAAACACTGAGCTGCTGAAAACTTTCCTTTAGACAAAACTGTGCGGCTGTTACTCTAATTTAAATAAAGGGAAAGTAGGAGTATAAAAAAGCTGAAGGAGGGTTGATCAAGCAGAAGAGGGAGAAAGGACACAAAAGAAATGCTGCTTGTAAAGTGCACTGAGGCATGTTAAAGTGCGTTGACTTAAAGATCTCACCAGTATGGCAAGCACCACCCAGCCATCCCTCTGGACAGCTGCAGATTCCTGGAGCCACACAGATTCCCCCGTTCCTGCAGCCTTGAGGGCAGATGGCTGCAAACAGAACAAAAGAGAACATGAAAAGACATTTCAGCAGCCCAGGAGAAGTTTAAACCTTCAGTTTTGGTGAATGAAACATTACTGAGCTTCCCTACACTTAATTCAGACTAGCTGACAGAAAAGTAAACAAAACTGGTAAAATGCCAAATATCATACTCAAAACAGGGGTCTGTGCATATGTGAAAAGCCGAGGCAGGTAGAGAAGCAGCAAAGACAGGCAACCTCCTGCCCACTGAGCAATAAACGGCTATTAGACGTCTAGTTTTTTTTAGACCTAGTTTCAATCGTCTAGATTCTGTATATTTTTAGATGGAATTTAAACGTTTCACTTTAACCCATTATTCGATAACTATTTATTTCAAAAAGCAACTGTGAGTTGCATAACTGATCTCCAAGTACTGAACCAAAATAATTATGATAGCCGTTGAGCAATATACAGTGTAGTATAGATATAGCCCGGATTTAGACTTAGTCCAAATTTAGACGTCTAAAAAAAGTTCATTTTTAGACTTGAGGTAGCCTGATTTCAGACCAGTCGTCTAGGCTACATATAGACATCTATTAGAGGTCTACAAGACAATTACAATACATATGATTCTGGTAAAATCCGACACAGCTTAGAAAACAGAGATTGCAAAATTGTTTAAATAGAATGTCTAGTTTTGGATTTGCTTTGTGGTAATCAGCTGTTTCCCGGTGTCATGATTAGCTGATGCACTGTCAGCTTAGTATTGCTTTGAAGCCTGTCTGAACTAGCAGTATGCTCAATTCGTATGGACACTTATGATTTAGGCTAACTCATGCAAGTGTTAACCTGTCCTTTAAAGTTTGCTGGGTGTAATCAACTTTTCCTGCTAATTTGCTTTTCCACTATATGAAAAGTAACCTCATAAATAAGATTCAGCATTTTGCAAAGTCTAAATCAAATTTTAATGTTAAGAATAGGTGTATCATCAATCACAGGTTTTTAACTTTGACACCTAATATGACCAAGTGCAGCAGAGGACCAAATGCTGGTTGTGGTTGTGTCAGTAAGTTGTAGCTGGAAAAGCATTTAAAATGTTGTTAGTAGGTGATAGCTGCTGATGAATGGCTGCAGCTGAGGGAGTGGCTCCATTTGGTGACTTTGACCTGTGGTGTTAATGGGGTAATTAGATTCCGCTATAAACAGACCCTCTTGGCATTTTGAGCCGCTCCAGCTTGAGGGGCAGATGCACTTGGCCACACCGTTGACAGCCGAGCATTCGCCTCCGTTCCAACATCCGCCATCGCACGTCACTGCCAACAAACACACACACAGATCACACAAATCAGCGGTGCGGTGGCTTCACCTGGCCTGTGCTCAACAACTGTAAGCTGTGATACTTGACAATTCATAAATCCCAGACAGCATATTCCTGTTAAATGTTTAGACGAGATACCAGGAAAACTCACTTTTAACTGTTTAGGCACATCATGTAAAAAGAAACAAGACTTGGAAGATCTAGCTCAAAAGTTTGCATCTATTTCTGACTCCTGTTAAGTTACTTGCCCTATGACCTCTTGTTGGGGCTGCAACCCCAGGTTGGGGAACACTAGTCTAGAAAAAGTTCGAAGGAATTCTCCCCAATAAAAGTGAGTAACACTGTTGGAGAAACACAAATCTGGTCTTTATAGTTTGACATAATGGTATAACACAAATGAGACTATTGTATGGTGTCCTTTTAGTGCCCTTCAGTTTTATCCTGAATACAATTAATCAATCAGTTGATAGCAGATAAACAAACGTTCACATCTCAGACTCAAGCAGATGGCTCGCCATAGTCCACTGTTTGACCTTGATGATGTTAGGATATGTTAAAATAAGCTCTCCGGCAGCTTGAAGAATTGCTGTCGAGTGTCTTTTTCCCTAGAGATTTTCTTATTTCATGCACAGTTATAAAACAATTTAAAGTACATAAGGACTTAACTACTGGAGACATGTTTCCTGAACTTGCTGACCTACTGCTGTAGTTTTATTCCTGATTAGCTTTGCTGCTTTCTGACAGATAATCTGGAGGGATTTAAACATGCCAAATTAAACAAAAGACAGCTGTGTGTTTAAGTATGGCTGTTTTAACTCAGGTTATATACGAATACATCAGGTAAAGGCAGCAAAGTAAGCCTGAAGTGAGCTGTTGTCCTTTTGAGGATGATTTATAATCCAAAATAGATTCACTGAAACTGTTAGAAAAAAATGATATTTCCTAAAAGAAGTCACTGTAAATAAACCCGCTCTCACCTTTGTGACAGTATCTTCCTCCATATCCAGGCTGGCATCTGCATTTACCAGGACGGAGACACACTCCTCCATTCTTACACTTGGGGAAACAGTTGGCTGTATTCAACAAAGAAACAAGAGTTTGACATTTCTTGTTTATAGTTTATAGTACACCTCAATTGCAATTTAAAAAAAAAAAAATCAGTTATTCAAATTGAGTTGCTTTTTCCTACTTGAAAGCAAGTTATAACAGAGCTGCAATGATGATAAATATGCAGTTTTTTCTACATTTGTATGTCTTCTAATGGGTGTAAGCATGTCTGCAGGACTCAGGAAGAGGTTTCTTCTATTTGATTGTCCACAAATCGAGAAAAATACATTAAACTGCACATTACTGTAAAATACAGAGCCAATTGGAAGCCAGGTGTATTCTTGTAGTTTCAGCTGTTAAAGCAGATTTATGTACTAAACTGTAAATGTAGAAACAAAGTTTATAACATCACCATACTGGCAGGTCTCTCCCTCGTATCCTCTGGAGCAGAAACAAGTGTTGTTTCGGATGCAGATCCCTGCGTGTCTGCACGGTGGGTCGCACGTCGCTTTGGGGTCGAAAACGAACCCGATCGCGACTCCCCGGGGCGCGTCCGAACCGGCGGAGCAGACGCCGACAAGAGCCGTCAAAGAAGCGAAGAGCACCGCTGAACCGAGACACCCCAAACCCATGTTAGGTCTTTGGTTTTATCTCTCAACTGGGGGGAAGAAGAAGAAGAAGGAGCAGACAGAGAGGTAGTGGGATGGACGGAGATGCAGCTGCAGAAAGTCTCCCACACAAGCCCGGTGACCCCTCCACGTCGCCCCCGCTGTCGCCAACAGGGAAACTGCAACCAGGTTAGAACTGGGGAGCACGCGGGGCGGGGAGACGGAGGGGGCGCCGAGGTGGGGGCTCACGAAGTTGGGGGTTTATGGTGTGTGATAAAATTTAAAAGTGATCACAGGTGAACTAATGTTGGCTTAAAGGAAAGTTACACTAAACACACATCCAAATGTTTGGAGTTTTCAATGAATTTGAAGCTCAACGGCTGGTTCAGCTCGTGGCTAGCTAGTTTACGTCAACCAGGTACGTTAGCGTTAGCTTGTTAACGTATACCAACGCTTTTCAGTAGCGTTAATTTCTAGGTACAAAAAAAGGAAGTGGTTGATATAATCCGGATTACCCGAGTGTGTGTGATAAAATTTAAAAGTGGTCACATGTGAACTAATGTTGGCATAGAGGAAATTTATATTAAACACACTCAAAAGTTTAGGAATTTGAAACTCAACGGCTGCTTCCGCTCGTGGTTAGCTAGCTTACGTCAACCAGGAGACGTTAGCGTTAGCTTGTTAACGTAAACCAACGGTTTTCAACAGCTTACTTTCCAGGTTGCCGTTGATCTTAAAATTCATTTAAAACTCTAAACTTCTTGCATGTTTGTTGTAATCCCAAATAACATGTGTCAATCTTGTTTAATCTGAAATTCAACATCGGTGTATTATATCAGATTTTAACGTTTAGTTGCAATAGCGTTAGCAAGCGTAGCTAAACTAAGGGTTACCAGCCCAGTGCAACAAGTGAGATTTCCCCCTCTAACTGCAGATATAATTATCTTGTAAGTTAAGTTACTAAACAAACAAATGAGAAAGTATGTCTAAAATGTTTTTTCTCTCCCCTGACTATCCCAAAAGTTACACGTTTAAAACTTTTAAATGAAAAGGAGTCATGATAAGTAAAGATAACTGAAACACTTTCAACATGAATATGTCATTGTTAAAGGGTTTTAATTAAACAAAGGAGAATTGAGATAGAGAGTTAAAAAAAAAAACTTTAAAAGACACTACCCTACTGGTCAATTTTTTTGTTCAAGTTAAACAAATTTGTGAAATCTCAGGGATGTACTATGTTCTCCTGATAATATTAGTATTGGCAGATGATGGTTATCCTTAACTATGGATTTAAGACATTCAAGATTGAAGATTAGTTTATTTGTCATGTGCATGTTAAACAAGGTCAACAGTGCTGTGAAATGACCTGGATGACTCAACTCAAAGGAATACAGATAAAAACACATAAGTACTGTGAGGAATACAATAGAATAAGGATGCAAAAAAATATTAGAGACAAATAAAAGTGTAAGAGAAATATTTACAAAGTGCAATTTTTACAAAGGTACTGAGTGTGAATATATGAAATGGAGGATAAGTCGGTGGGATAAATGAGGTATGAAAACTGCCATATTGCACATTCACGGTGGTACTGTCAGGAGATCAGTAAACATGGCTGACTTTTTCTGTGTCAGAGTTTGCATTTCTGTTTAGATGAACTATTAAGGTTGAGTTTGTAAAGACTGTAGCTTCTGCGTATTTCACTGTGGAGCAGTTTCCTTCTTTTTATATCTTAAGATTTGGGTTTAGCTGATTTTATAGGAGCAAATATTATGATTATTACAAATGTGTTTTCTAATAATTGTAAAAGTATAAAAAATATGGAGAGACAGTTTATCTTAAGGATGCAGATAAAGGCAGCTCCAGCTGGAGTTACATCAGAAAATAAACATGAACATAAACAGCCATGTTTGCCTTACTTTAGTGTTTGAGTGAAGGGAAAGCTCATCCAGCTGAGTGTTACAGTCCAAAAAGAATGTTTCAGAGTTGAGCCAACTGTCTGCAGAAAAGCCAGATCTGTTTTACAGTGTGAGTTCACATGGAGCACATGAGGGAAAGTCATTTCCTATTACCTGGTGAGAGGAAGTGCAGAACCTTCATGAGCTCTGGGGTTAGGGGTAGGTCTGCTCTAATGGCAATAACACAACCAAGTCAGAGCTGGATGTGATGGCTTCTCCTCTGGGCGTCTGCACTGACTGAGAGTGTAAAGGAAAACACTGTCTGCACTATTCTTACATCCTTAGGAAATCAGAGTTTTGCCACAGTCCATGGAGTTAAGACGACAACCTTTTAGTCCTTATAGGTCACACAAGTCTCTAGAGTCAGCCCTTCCTCTGCTTTCTTATTCATCCCAAGTTACTTTTGGCTACAATGGCAACAAAATCAGGCAGTTCACTACTTTTCTTCCATATATCCGCTCACACATCCCAGTACATCCTCGATAACACAGAAAAAACTCAGACCCTGTCAGCCAGCAGCACATATCTTAGACAGAAGGAAATCTGATCTTGCTTAATGTGTGTGTTTTATATGTCTGTGTATATCCTGGTGTAGCTCTGGTCCAAACCACTGACCTGGATCTCAGGCAGGATGTGGAGTAGTATTTAAATGAGCGCAACAGATGTGAACATACCATGATACACTGGAGACATCCTCTGTTTCTGCTGTAGCTCTAATATGGACTAAATGAGAGACTGTGCTATTCTCTATGTCACTATACAGTTTTAAAGGTCTGATGTACATGTGCTTGACTTACAGATGATAACTGAGAGTAGAAAGGCAGAGCAGATAAAAAAGATAAAGCTTTATGTGGAAGGTTATGGAACTACTAAGGCTCTACTGCTTGACTGTTGAATGTTGCCATGTAGAAGCATGTTTGATGCCCTCTAGTGGTTAGACAGTGTGTGTGTTGTTCCAGTCAAACAGCTGCTTTGTCCTTTCAGTCATCAGATAGCACCCAGAGGAGCATGGCGACAGTGACTTTGTATTACACTATATGCAAAATATGTCTTTAATTTTAAATTGGATAAGAATGAGCTTATTTTAATTTATTCAATCGTAGTTTATAAGTTTATATCCAGGTAAATGCAGCATATTTTAAAAGCATAATATAGATTTAGGAACAATATAATTATCATTAAAAACTCAGAAAGTTCCCTTCAGTTCAGGTCTTGTGAAACACCCATTTTCAGCTTTCTCAGAGTACATTTATCAGGTGATCCCAGGGTTCGAAAAAAAGTATGTCAAGTACAAGGAGTGGGTAAAATGTCCTCACACATAAAAGAGGACATCAGTTTTTGGTGTTTAAGGAACATAACTAGCACTGGATAAGGACAGATGTTAAAAACTGTTACTTCAAAAACTAACCAGTATGTTGGACCTATAAACTCAGTAAAAATGTCCATAATTTATTACTAAAATAAAAATAATTAAAAGGTTAAATAGAGTAGAAAAACTTGTACAAACTACAGGTATCTTGACAGTGAGAGTTGAGCAGTGAACAGGCTCCACCCGGTGAGGACAAACACTACTGCAGGCAAACTTCAAAATAAGTTGACTTTATTTTCAGCTTCATGCATCAGAAACACAAAATCAATTTTAAAGGGGGTTTTAAGAAAGAGAATCACACAGGGGCAAATATATCAGGAAGGTCTGAATTTACAGTTTTCTTTGAAAAATGCAAAGACTAACTTTATGAAAACTTGCACAATGTTTGTTTTTATACACCTGTTAGATCACAACAGAAACTCTGAGCTTCAGAGTAATTAGTATTTCTGGTATTTGTATGTCACAGGTCTCTTCTTTATTACATATCATTATGTGTTTTAACATTTACCTGTGAATCATCAGCCAATTCAAAGTGATAGTCCCCAAATAAAAAAAAAACCTCAAGGAACCCGGTGAGCAACTCATGTTTAAGATGCAAATGTACTTAAAAAAAGCAGAGAACACTATTGCTAATGACACCACAGTCCACAAAAGTAGGACAGCCTCATTAAAAGGAAGGAAGCTGCTCTCGCTCAAGAAAGAAATAGTCTTAATAAAACATGTTACAGAGCAAGCTAGAAGGAAAAGTCATATTTTACATCAACGTACACACTTCTGCGATTTATAGGCGGCTGAGGCTCCTACATTTGCTATGAAATTAAAAATATCCCTTTTACAAAGTTATTTGAAACTTACTCACACTATGTTACAGTCTTCCCAGTAGTCACATTTGCTTTCATATCACCCTGTTAAAAATGCATAAAGAAGACTTATTATACTAGCTAAAGCCAAGCATAAAAAGGAAGAAAAAAAAAAACAGAAAAAAGGGACAGAGGATAATGTGTCACCTAAATTGCACTACCCAACATCATTTATCAAAAGAAAAAGAGACCGGCTGCTGTAGGAAGGAATGAAATGGTGGTTTAAAGGAAACAGTGAGGAACTGCTCAGTGGTTTTTCACTATCTTAGACTCTTCCTGCCCCTTTGGTTTGCTGTATTTTTGTTGGAGTGGTATTAAATCATCGTAGAAGGTGGTAGAAGTTGCAGTCTTCCAAATGTACTCGCTTAGAATTCAAAATATCTCAAAGTAAGGGTTAAAGTGCATCATATCAGAAACTACCGCTTCAAGCTGTTTATTTCATTACTGAGGAGTGACAGTGTAAACATGATGGGAATGTCAACCAATATCCTGAATATTAAATCATGTCTGTTTATTTTTCTTGGCACGGCGGTGGAAAGTGATAACAAACCTCGAGGCGAATCCTGCTAAACTCCAGCTCTGGCAGGTAAGATTTTTCATCTTCACCCAGCTCTGTATGACAAGTCACCCTCCAAAAACCCTCTCCTAACATCAAAACTGACGTGTGAAAGGAAGAAAGTGGTTGGGAATTAAAGAATGGATGAGCCACGTGACTAATATAAGATAGATTATGACCCCCGTCCGTGATTCCACAGTCATTGAGCAGAGATTTTCCTACATGGAGGTCAGCCCAGTCATCTCTGGGAGACCTCCAGTCACAGCAGGATGTGACGCTAATCTGTGCTCTTCTTCTTCTTCTTGCCTTACTGGTAGACCGGCATGTGACCATGCAAGGTGGTGGTGTTGCCCCCACAGTCCACGTACTGGTACATCTCCTGGGAGACCTGCTCCGCGTGGCCAAAGTATGACGTAGTCACCGTGACCCTGGAAAACAACCTCAGAGTTAACTTCAAGGTAAGACACTCCGAGCTGTTTTTGTTGACTCTTAGTCCAGCACTGATGTGAGGATTCTTGAAATTGTCTTGATGTTGCAAGCTTTGTTAGCTGGTTAGCAAGCTAGCCTCCTGTTGCTAGGCAAAATGGGGAGCAGTATTTGGCAAGGGTGTAAGTCTGATGATGCAAACAGGAAATTCTCCCAAGACTCTACAAAGTCTCATTTCAGTTCAGCCTCAGCGGTCTACAAAGGCTGGATCCTTCAAAGGATCCTTCTGTGATCCCTCAGCTGGGATGCCATCAAAGCCTGTTTGGCTGACAAGAAAGTTACCTGGTTGAAAATCGTACTCACTGATTCATTGCACAATCGCGACTGAGAGAGCAGAGATCGGCTGTGATTTAGGAAGTATGAGTGCCTGTTGCCACCTGTTTTTGCCGGTGAACTGGAGGAAATTTAGAGGCTTCTGCTGTCAGCGAAGAGTTCAGAAAAGTTTGAGAAAAATACAATAAGGTGGAGTAACGCGTCTCTCTTTCTGTGTCTCTCTGATGTCTGGGTGGTCATGTGGAGACTATTCGGATAATCGCCAAATAGTTTTCCAGTGACTTTCGGTTCTATATATATCCATCCACATCCACATTTACTTTTGTAGACAGACTATAAAGAGCATCCTTTCTACTTTTTAGAGATCTCTAAAATAGGTAGGTGATTGCAGCATTCTTTTTAATTGTTTCTTGTTAATGTTGTTTTAGAAAATCAGATTCGAGCTTAATCTGATGAGAGTATATAATGCTGGATGCCTAGTATTGAGTCTAGCTAGCAGAACAATACCAGCTTCCATTTTAGTCTTACACATCTTTACACAATAAGGTAAGACTGAAGTTTCAGTAGATTAGAGTAAATTTTACGTTCACTGCTGCTTCTTTCCTTCCAATTACTCTGAGATTAAATCTAATGTTGCTCTCTGAAGCATTTGTTCAATGATGACCACGAGGGATTCAATAACGAGTACAGATTAATTTATCTTCAGAGGAATGTTTTCTTTCTAAGATTCACACCCTGGTTGAATGTCAGCGTTAACGTGTCAGTGAGCAATGTACCCAGAAAACCCGCCTAAGTCCCCCCTGCTGGTCTGAGCCGTACTTTTGAGACAGAGCTGTTTTGTTTCTTGAAGCCACGGGGTGCGCGTGGGTGGAACTATGCAAGTGTGGAGGAGGAGTGTGTTCACAGGACTGATGTTGATGTGCGATAGATTTATCGCTCAACCAAATCACAGAAATGAGAGAGATATACACATGAAGAGATATATTTCAAATGTTTAAGTCAAAGCCATACTTACTGCATCATGACCACTATGTTGTGAACTTTGATGGTTGGCAAGGTGCAGTAGTCACTGAAAGAAAAGAAGTGATTGATGATTAAGAATGATCAGAGAGGAAGCGGTGCATTGTTATGAGATCTGCTGTGATACTTACAACATATAACTCATCTCATCAGCAATAGTGGTGGGGACTGTGTAGTCAATCTGGAGTAATCAGAAGAAGAGAATAATGATTACATAATAACATATAACATATTTCAGCTCAAAAATTAAAAACAGGGACTTTGTTTGGGTCATGATTTCTGCTTGATCTGTAAGCTCTGTGAAGTCACAAGACTAAGACATTGAGGCTTACATGGAGCTTAAATATTAGTTTGAAGTCTGGATTTCTGCAGAAACAAAACTGATATTATATTCCAGTTATCACATGGGAAGTCTGAAGGTCAAGTGCAGTGAGAGTCCTTGTGTTACTATAGTTTCAACAGTACGCTGTTGTGTTAAGCTGCGGAAGTTAGAAGTAACTTGGTAACTGTTGATGTAACCGTTGGTAACCTTTGTTGCTTTGGTTTGATGTGGATTTTCTTTGTAAAAATAATCTAATCCAAACTCAAGTACCTGCCGCTCATCCAGCGGGATGATCACTGAGCTGTTGTTGAACTTGGTCTTGCCTATCACCGTCTTGGAGAACTGCACTTGGGCTGTGATGTTGGTCACCGACACGGTGTAGTAGTTGTTATTGGTGATGTTCAGAGTGCTCTGCATGGAAGAACATACAAGTGTAAGATATTTGGCATTACAGTCTCATATTCATTAGTTATGAATCTCAAGCATTTTACCCATGAAGTTACTAATATTTTTTCCACCCGAAGGCAGGGGAAGGAAACTGCAACCACGACTTGGATATTTAGTAAAGGGCTGCTTAATTACCCACAATCATTCAAATAGGAGCTACTGCAAAAAATACACTTAAAATCTCTTTTTATTATATTTAAGAAGTTTTGTAGGAAGTTTTCCTTACTGTTGTTGACACTAACTTTTTTCACAAGAAGCACATGTTTTCCTAAGTTAAAAAGTAAGGAGCACACAAAGACCTTTAGGGGCACAATGAAAATTGATCAAATAATGTTTGTCTTATTGGTCGACAGAAGTACTATTATTTGAAATCAATTTTAGGTCAGTTGGTCACAGGTTCAAAATTTGCCTTAAATTTTTTTTTAGAGGACAAATTAGGGAAATGAAGTTTGTCTCATTGTCTGATCTTAGTCACATGACATGGAAGCTATTGAAGGGAAACAGCCTTTTTTCTGAGAACATCAACCGGTAATTTATTGACGGTCCCTCATTCAACACCCGACGTTGACAGTGAGGGTGCAGAGTAGATTTAACTGCGCTGCTGTTGCTATTTCCGGTTATGGAAAGTGAGCAGACACCGGTAGATCCGCAGTGAATGTCCGTCGAATATCCAACTTAAAACTAACTTAACTGCAGTATTGAAACATGAAAACACATTTGTTGCCTTGCCTGATTTTTTTATGCGCACATGTGCCCCTAAATTCATTTTACAATTCGCACACATCTATTTTAGTCGCAAATACAAGTGAAACGGTCACCCTATAAAGCCCTGTATTTGTATTTTAACTGGCTGAGTATGAAGGGTTTTTTGGTTGTTGTTGGTTTGTTTGTTTGGAAATTGCTCTCCTCTGCAGCAGGAAAATTCCCCGATGAGATCAGTGACACAAACCAAAACAGTCAAGCTCAGGGTTAGGAAACTAAGCTATGAGTCACATTTAAGCTCTTTATGCCAGAGCTCAGTTAAACTGAAGAGTCAAGTGACAGTGCACAGTGTTTTCACCACTCTGAGCAAGCCTTTTTACATACAAGTACTCATGTGATCCAGTGTAAATGTGCAGGTATTGATCTTTGCAGCTTTAGGGCTTGGTTAAACAGATAAACATTTACAAGAGCAGATACACAGCCTTACAGTGATGTTGAGATAGACGATTCGTTTGTCCAGATCGTAGGAGACATAGGCGGACTTCACTCCCACGTAGGAGACATCAATAGAGCGAGGGAACAGAAAGAAAACAGCCAGGCCAGACAGCAGCAGGCACAGGACCACTGATATTGTGACATACAGCTTTCTGTAGGAGACAGGAAACAGAAGTGAGACCCTGAAAGCAGCTGATAACTTCAAAGCATGTGCCGCCATTGTCTGCGAGAGCAATGGATTTCATCACACAGAGCTGCCACACAGTTGATCTTAAAACCCTGCAGACTTACGTCCTGCTCGGCCTGAGCCTTTGGTCACTGTATGGAATCAGAGCCACCAGCTGATTCTCCTGACCTGTAGATGAAAGAGAAAAGACGGCATTTAACTTTTGCATCGAGTATGTTGTAAGATTTGCTCGCTACAACGCTACTGTACAAAGTTGACCTGAACAAATGTGATAGCATCAGTCACAAAGTACAGTCCTGACTTTTCCCCTGTTTTTCAGTTCTGATTAGACACTAGTGTTGAGATGCCTGTCTGTCATGATAGCATGTACTGAGTTGGGGCTAGTACCAGATAAGCACATTAAACTATAATACATAAACGTAAGGTAACAACTGAGACCTAAAGTTAAAACAAACACATTAAGCAAACTGTTAAAGCACACAAACCATTGTCATATGAGAAAACCGACGCTATGACTCTCCACAAGTTGTCCTTCAGGTCGTTATCTTTGTGATGTGTGTGTTTTTTATCAGAAAGCACTCTGTTCTCCAACATGTAAACAATCAGCAGGTCGGCCATGTTGGATATACCGGTGAATCTGACATCACAACAACACGAAATCTGATTGGTCAGAAGTGGACACACAGTATGTGAAACTTCCCTGTGTGTGTAACGACCTTAAAGCTCATGCAAAAAGGCAGGGAGCTGGAAAAACCCTAACTCCGATTAAATCCCAAAAATACTCAGGTTTAACCCTCTAATATACTCAGATTAAAACTCTCTAAAATACTCAGATTAAAACCATCAAAAATATTTGGATTAAAAACCCCTAGAATACTCAGATTAAAACCTCTAAAATACTCAGATTAAACCCTTAAAATGCCCAGATTAAAACCTTCAAAAATATTTGGATTAAAAACCACTAAAATACTCAGATTAAAACGCTAAAATTATTAAAATTAAAACTCTCTAAAATTATCAGATTAAAACCATCGAAAATAATTGGATTAAACCCTCTAAAATATTCAGATTAAAACCCTCCAAAATACTCAGATTAAAACCCTCACTCACAGAGCTGAATTTACTTTTACCGCTCTTTTAGCAGAATAAACCTCTATGTCAGGGTTTGATAAAGTGACCAAAACATGAGTTTTTACCATGAAAATCCACCGTAAATCTCTTGGTTATAAATAGATCTGTAGGAATTTTAACCTCATTCCTGATTTGTGACACTTGTTCACTTGGAAGCTTGAACTGTTTATTGGAGGTGGTTTCATCTAGGGAAAGGTGTCGTGAGTCCCATTCTACGGCAATAGTATAAAAACGAGAGCATACAGTTTTCATGAAACCTGCTGTAAAAGTGGAAATTTTCTGGCGTTAATCAAAAATGTTAGGGGATGTGAAACTGTGGTCTCGTGGTTGACTAATTCTATCTGCCAACTCTACACTGTCAGGTAATAAGGCCTTCAAATTCAGCTTTTTCTCATTTTTCTTGGATGTTACAGTGATTCTGTTTTTTTTAAGACTATCATCATTGGATGTATTAAATCTTTAACGGCATTACGCCTGATTATTATCCTCCGACTAATGGAAATATAAGAAATAAGAGAAGAAGAACTTTATTGATCGCTAAAGGGAAATGCAATTGCATGGTGTCTGACGTCAGATGCTATTTACAGAAGAATTGAACAGTTTAATGGCTGTGTACTTTTCTATGTAGGTTATGGTCCAAATGTCTGAACATGATGTAAACACTGCGTACTTTAGCAAGTACTTTACAGTGATATATGGACATGTTTGGAGCAGAAAACCAAACAGATATTCAGTTGTCTTCACTGCAACATCTTTCTTTTTCCATTAGGGATGTGTCGTAATTTTACAATGTTTAAATAGTCTGACCTTTGGTGCTGGGAAATAAATCCTACACAGAACTGCTTTTTAAGCCCGTTCATAGCTTTGTAAAAAGATAACCAATTTTGAAGCACTACTTTTAATGATACTGGAGAGTAGTCTGTCTGCAGTTGACAGACTTTAGAAACCAGTGGGTCAGACTACATCCATGCTTCATTTGGTCCATGTGTGGACCGCACTTGAACACACAAACAGTTCATAGAGATAGCTGTGCGGCATTAGAGATAGAGGAAATTGCATGGCTGTTAACTATAAAAACACACCCCGGGCTGCTGCATCATATAAACACTAGTATGAAGGTTACCACAGGTGCGCAGTTATGCCAGTGCTACCAGCAGCACCTCAACACCTCTCTGCACATCACCTACATTTACCCAATGTCAACTTCTGTATCGATTTATATTGGAAAGATTTTAGCAGAAAGAAGATAATATTGCAACATCCACTTCATGTGATATTGTTCAACTGCAGAGTCATGTATCAGGACATTAATGTAAGAGGGTTGTGATAAATTTACCTCGGGGGATTCTGCCGGTGCCCTGACACGTGGGACATGTGACGCTGTCCCGTCCTGTGAACTCCACATAAGGGAACTGAGAAACATCTCCATTCTTTCCATCTTCTTCTGTCTGACCGTCACCACATATCAGCGTGTCCTGACTCTCAGCTTTGTGCTTGGCCAAGTGTGACTGGGACTTGCCCATCGCTGCAGCTGTCTGCGCACAACAACAAAAAAAAGGTAGCATGAGAAAAGAGAGGGAACTGCCATCTACAGTTGGTGCGGCAGGATGTGCTGACGAACACATGCCACACGAGCGTTTGAATGTGAAATCGGTTCTGGACTAATTCCAGACAAACATTTCCCAGGAGAGCAAGCTGCAACTGGTGCACTGTCCGTGACGAGAACAAGCCTTGTAAACTTCAGGAGGAAAAAAAAAGGTTGCAACCAAACTAAGAACATTTCAAGAGACCCTTCTAAATTCAACAAGAGCATGCTAACAAACGTAATTGACTATTAGCTGTTCTGCAAAACTTAAAAAACTGTACTTCTGTTCTTTAACCTTTTTAGGACACCAGTCTTTGCTTGTTACATTTATTTTCAAAAGCACACCAACTACTGTTAGACGAATTGAATGGTGGTAAAAAAAAAAAAACTTTGTAACTAGTAAAACTGCATTTTTATATCTTAGGTGAGTAAAAACATAACACTGAAAATCAACACAGTCAGCATTGAGAGTTGCACAAGAATAACCTGCATTATGCAAAACATGGATGCATCATTTTAATGTTGCATCTCACAAAGGAAGAGCTTCTTTTAATGTATTTACCCATGACTAGGAGTGGTTTCTCCCCAGAGAGATACTGACACTTCTGCTATATCACAAAGAAACTGTCTTAAAAATGTTAAGTGCTATCATTTTGGAACCACAAAGCAATTACAAAACAAAGGGTATGTAAGTGTCGAGTCAGAGGAAATAAAAGGCCTGGACTGAGCATGGATCATTCACTCAAGTGCTCTGTGCAGTGTTTGAGTAAATGTACATCCAGTTCCTTCCCAGGCCCATGCTAAAGTGTATTACAGTTCATTTGAATAGGAATAATTAGCTCATTCGCATTTCTTGTTAAAACACCGTCTAGTATTGAGATTTGTTTTTGGTAATATAATGACTGTCGACGGACCAAACGCATTAAAAAGGATGAACAGATGTGATGACTAACCCGCAGGTTGTCCCTCTGTGTGTCACCGTGCAGGATGCCTTTTGTAACCAACATACATTTTAAGCACAACCCAGGGCCGCCATGCTATATTGAGCTGAGCCCTCAACAGAGAACACAACGTACCGGCCTCTAAAAAACGCTTCAAACGCCTTCAACCCGTCGTGTCGAAGAGTACATTTAATATTTACACATTTATTTCCACACAATCAAGTTAACGGGATTCCGTGACATCTCGTTATTGCGATATTTCCATCAAATGAAACGCACCAAACGGTCGCTTCGCAGGCTGCTCCTGTGTGCCGCTCACATCTACGGTACCAACGTCCGACCGTTAAACACGAAAGAGCCGGTAAAAACGCTCGTTATCTGCCCGTTAATTCCCCGTCTTACCTATTTTAATGTTTTATTCTGACTTCTCTGCCATTCGTTGTGTCGCCTCTTGTTGTTGTGGTCACAGCAGTGTGAGGAATGAAGCCGACGGTCACGCCCCCCCTCTCTCCTCATTGGACGATCACGGCGGCGGAGCTGTCAGTTTTCACAGGCACACACACTAACACAAACACAAACTGTTTATCACTGTGACACGACAATAACAGACACTGTGGGAGACTGATATGCCGTCAAACTCAAGGACGAAAAATAGAAATTAAAAGTAAAAAAAAACAAACCTTGGTTTAAAGTTATACATAAAATCTTAGGTTTTAACAAAGCAAATGAATAGAAAGATTAGAGAGAAGTTATTAGTTTTCTATACCCATATATTATGCCTTTTATTTGTCTACTATGTGCCTGAAACTTATATTACACCTTCTTACATTGTCTGTTTATGCCTCATATCCCAGTTTACACCACCCTTAAACAAATTTGTAGAATAAAGTGGTATAGAAGGACATTATTATTATTATTATTATTATTATTATTATTTTAAATAGCAACAACTATCACTTTGACTTTATTCAGTCACTTATTACATAACAAGTCTTCCTTTAGTTTGGATACATGGAGGCAATGTACGATCTTGAACTGACTAAACCAAAAAGGCCGTGCCTTGCACAAATGTTGCACAAATGAACTTTCCATATCAAACATAGCAGCATAAAGCTCAGATACAGTTCCTCTAACTTCTGGCTTGGTCTCAGGCATTACAGCAAGAGCAGCTTTCGGTGGCAGGGAAGGAAATTAAGTAAAGTGTTTTGTGAAGTCTTGTAAAAAGTGGAGGAAATAATGTGCAGGACAATCAAAGCTATTTTTAACTTGACCAAGTGCCATGAAACGTGTGCAGAAGTCTAATCCTAAAGCTCCCCTCTCTGACTCACTGGTTAAATAGATTGTCTATGAGGGAGGATTGGAACAGGTGGTTGGCCGCAATGTGAAGAGAAAAACAAAAGTAACCAAATACCTCAAAACTAAGTTCCTCAAAACACAGAAGTGTTACTAAAATATGATGTAAGAAACCACAGTTTGAAAAAGCCATAGATACTTAGTGCTGTAGATAAAAAATCATCTAAAAGAGATATGATGAGGCATGAGCAACAACTAAATGTTATCTATGCACACACATTTGTTGAGTGTAGACACATATTAAGTTGTTATTGAACACAAAATGCTGTGAGGTAACTATAAATAGTGTGAGCAGCAGGACACTGACGCCTTGTAATGAATATTGTGCAAGTGTGTGTCAGAGGGGAAACTAGTCAGCTTCAACTGAGATCACCATCAATAGAAAAAGGAGAAGAGACCGTCCGTGAGGTAACTTTTGTTCATGACTATGACCCAAATATCAGTGATTCAACCTCATATACCCTGTTCACACAGTATGGAGTTAATAAACAGCTTTATACTCAGACTGAGAAGCAGAGTTTGGAAACTTTGCCCAATATAAGATGAACCAGTCAGCATCATGCATGTAGGATAACAGAGGTTGTAGGAAAATGTTGTCACCTGACAGAGACATGTCTACGAGCTTTCCAGTGTGAGTAGGTCTTTCCACAACCACCCCCTTTGTCACCCTCAATCAGCAAGAAACCACCACGCTAATTCATTAAGCAATCAAAAACAGATCAGTCTCAGAGGAGATGGGAGATGGAAAAACATGCAATTGGAGCTGTGATAATGAAGAGAAATATATCAATGGTTTGACCCTACACAAGGTTTCTAAGTCACGGTGGTTATTGCTGGAAAGGCTGACTGCTCACAGAGTGTGTATATTAATAGTAAGTCGACAGTGAGTTTGAGGTATGGCAGGAGAAGGTGAACTAGCAGCTTAATGGTGACCCCAGCCTTCAGAGGACTGTCAAGAGAAGCTGATTTAAGAAATTGGAAGAGGTTCATTGGGTGGACTCAGGCTGTAGTCAGGGGACAAAGAGAGACCAGGCACAGATGTCTTCTAGAAAGGGACTACAAATGTCACATCTCTGATATCGAGCCACTCAAACAGAGACAAAGCCAGATGAATCTTTTTGCTCAGTCGTTTGAAGTCCTCTTTTCAGATGAAAGTAAATTTATCAAGGTCCAAGAGTTTGGAAGAAAAGTGGAGGGGCAAGATGTCTAAGATGTTAAAGTCCAGTGTGAAGTTTAAGAGGTTTGTGATGATTTGGGGGTTTTCTGCTCTTGGTCTGCTGTGTTTTATTAAGTCCAAAGTCCAATACAGACGGATTTTGGACTTCAGAAGTCTCTGAAACGTAGAAATCTTTAAGCACTTCAGGCTTCTGTTTTCTGACAAGCTTTATAGAGATGCAGATCTCCATTCCCAAAAAACTGAGCTCCTGCCCGCAGTGCCAAAACTACTACTGGATGGTTTTCTGACGATAAGGTTTTATGCTTATTTGGCCAGCAACATGACCTGAACACCTCAATGAGAATTAAATCCAAAGAAGTTTACTTTTCTCAGTTGAATTATAGAAAAAGTAATCTTCTCAGTGGGTTTCTAATTTCTCTAAAACTTACATTCAAAGGCTTAGGGTTCACAGATATGTTTGTACACAGTAGAGTTTTGATAACTGCATTATTTACTAGAATAAGTCCTTCTACAGAGTGGAAGGTTAGGATTTAGCTCTGACAGACTTCACAGAATAGGATCTGAAGCACGCCAGCCAACTTGTGTACACAGTATATGGTGTCACTTCTTCCTTTTGATGATGTGTGAGAGTGTGGTCAGTGAAAGTGTGTGTTATTCTTCGTATCGACCAGATGATGGCAGTGTGCTGCTATGTGTGAATGTATGATTCAGCAGCACCAAGGAGATGATTCCTCTTGTCAACAACAGAACACTCATTAATGCTTGTGAGCAAACATCATATTATTGTCCTCATAGATTCATCTTAATCTATTTAATCTCTATGATTTCAGACGAACCACTCTGACTAATAACCTGTCATGTTCAGAAGAAGAGACATCAAATGGTTAATAAACATGACAACCAGTACTGCCTTTGCACTGACCTGGGTCATGTTTGCACTTGAAAACATCAATTAGACATGAATATTAGATGGATTAGATGATTCAGGCCAAACCAGGTTTTTATTTTCTCCTACTTTCTTGTGATGGTGACACTCATGAGTCATTGTACAGTGCAGTACACAGAAACCATTTGGTATTAACTCTGAAAATGAGCTAAAAATAGAACGAGATGCTGTGTGACACAGGTTGGCTCTGATGATGACCTAGTTGGCATCGTCAGCAGGTTCATCATAAAGCCAGAGCTAAATGACAGGAATCAGCATCGACTGTGGTCCTGAATATCCCCTTAAATACGGATTTGCTTCACCAGAGGAAATGTGTTTTTTATGACGTGAAATCACGCTGTTTATCTGCGATTTTATTAACTAATCTAAGAGTTAAACTGTAATTTTCCAGCAAAGAAACAACATTAACTTGTTATGAACTTGTAGCAGAGAAATATATCTCCAGGGAAATGATGTATAATACAGACCCCCCCTGTTTCATTCACAAGCGTTTGGGATCAAAATACTTCCTCATTAACTGGGTTAGAATCACCACCTGCTATGCAACAGTAGGTGGTGGTGGGTTTGTCAACTCACGAGGCACTTTGGCAGGCAACCAGCCATTGTTCAGAGCTCCAGTTACATCTAAAGGAGGCCATCGCTGCAGATTGTTCCCCCTGATCTTGAACATTGTGAGAAGTTCTCTGGTCTTGTGATCCTTCATCCCAGCAGGTTACAGATCATGAAATTTTGATTTGCATCCCCTGATGTGTTAGCCAAGATTATACTCCTACTTTCTCTGATGGTCGTTCGAGGGAAGAGCTGGTTGAGTCTAGTGCAGACTGTGTTTTCTTTTCGGCTTTCGAAGGATGTGAGCCGTTGCTTTGGATTGGAGCCAGTTTTCTCATCCTATATAGCCTGTAGCATGTTCACATGTTCACTGCATGTACATGATGCAATTTCTTGGCAAGTGCATGAATTTGAGAAGCATAGTACGACTGCTGTTGTGAATCCAGGAAGTTATGATCGCAACATTTGATAATTTCTTTCTGGTTTTTATTTTTAAATGGTGAAAAGGAATTAAATTTAGAGCAGTGTCAAAAGAATGAATCACCCTTAAGTTATATATGGTGGTATGACTCGGTTTTGAAGACCCTCTGCCCCTCCAACTCGGTGTGTGGAAGTTCAAAGCCTGAGACGGGGAGAGCACACCGTCTTTTTCATTTTACTGCCATACAGGGAAAGTAGAGACCATAGAGGGCACAAAACTGAGCAGGCATCTATGGCCATAAGGTGAAATTAGGAGGTATAAGAGAAGACCTGGAGTGGAGACGAATTGTGAAGCGGTTCGGTGATGAATCAGTGAGGAAAATACCTACCTGTGGGCTGAGCCTGACTCCAAAGTCTGCCTGAATTTTTGGTTTACTCAACTCATAAGGAAACGATGTAAAACCTCCCTGTCCTTATCAGGTATATACATGAAATCCAAGGCAGGGAGAGCAGCAGCAAAGATATCACACACTGAAGGAGGATTTGGGGTGGAGACGAGCTGCGAAACAGAGGTGAAGGTCAGCAGTTGAGTTAGACTGAGCTCGGTTGAATGGCTGTTATGCTCAATTTTTATTATGATACTGAGAATGAAAGCATTGCTACTTGAAACTGCTTGTTTCTGCGTCCTTGTTTCACACTATGTTGAAATGACACCATCTGAGCTGTGGCCGTGTCTACTCTTGCTGTGCGGTGAAACTGGCAGCAGCTGTGAGAGGAAAGTGTCAGGAGTTTTTCCCTCTTCGTTTTGACTTATAAGTAGTGATGCACGATATGAAAAATTTCAACCGATACCGATAACCGATAATTTTCTTCTTCTCATGGCCGATACCGATACCGATAACCGATAAATTCATATTTTTACATTTATTATAATCTTCATATAATCTGCAATTTGAGCAGGATGCAGTGATTGAAAACTGATGTTTTTGTTGCTCTGGCCTATCTAGAACAACAAACAAAAGTTTTTGGCTCTTCAAATGTGGTCATTTGCTATAAATAACAATAAC